GATTGAGAGCGAATTAGAAGATACCTTTGTCAAATTTAGTCTTGAAATAAACACTTATTTAGTTTTTATTGTTTTATTTTAGTTGCTTGTGCATTCGGTCGCGAGATGACCGGATGTGGCGGTAACACCAATTTCCCTATTAAGACTCCCACTGTATCTCTGATGTTTTTAAATAAAGTTGATAATTTCCTTGAATAATCATTATTTAAATGTATTTTTGGGCGGGAAATTTTGGGGTGTTACAAATTGGTATCAGAGCCATTGAGACTCGGGTTGCGAAGTCTCTGGTTGTTAAGTTGGCACCCTTAACAACTGGTATGACGGCGACTAGAGTCAAAAGTATCCAAAAAGTTTTTGAAAACATTTTTTCAGAGGCTAAAGGTTTTTCAAAAGGGATTTTTTCAAAATAATTTTTCTAAACACTTTTTCAAAAGTTTTCTAATGTTTCTTAAATTTCCCCGAAGTGATACAAACATTTGATTAGTTTTGAAGAGATTTTCCTAAAATGATTTTTTTTTATTTCTTAAAAATATGAAAAATAACCTGACAAGGATCGCGGTGAGAATTGTGTAATTTATTTCTTTACTTGTCTTGTTTGATATATGTACATTTTAGAAATTTGAAACCTTGTGTTTTGGGCCTATATATGAGATGGGACTCACAAGGTGCTTAGGATTGATTATGTGTGAATTGATTATGTGAAAAAACCCTTAAAAGGTGTACGCTTGAAAGTAATAAATTCCTTGGAGAATAAGGTACATATAATTTTTATGTGCAAGTATGTGATACTTTAGAGTGTAAACTTGGTATATCGTGAGAAACCTTATCGGGTGTATGAGATTTCTAGAATCCTTGGTTGAATTTGAACCTTTGATTACAACTATGAAATTCCTTATTAATCATGCCGTTTTAGCTTATGCTTCGAGGACGAAGCACCCTCTCTTGCAGGGGGATAGATTGTAATACCATATGATTTTATTGGACCTTAGTTTCTGCTTCGAGGACGAAGCATCATTTAAGGGGGATAGAATGTGACACCCCAAAAATTTAAAAATAAAAATAAAACAAATACTAGTATGATTTATTTAGCTGATAATGATATATCAGATATAATCTAGCTGATAAGAATAAATTTGATACAAGTTATTTGACAAAAAAAATGTTAGAAGATGAATAAAACTAAACTAAGATATAAGAAAATTCATACACACATGCATGTAACGTATAAACGTAAATAATTACTAGTATGACTTGAGATCTCCCGCAAATTAAAACATAAACATATCAACACACATATATATTACATACAGTCATACATCATGATACATACATACATACAAACTCCACAATACTCCACTAACTTACATACAAACATGCGCATCAACATATATACACTCATCATCATATCATAATATTCTCCCATAGGCATGAAAGTATGTAACGTACATACATAAATGACAATAGTGAACAACAAACGGATGGCTAATAAACTCCTGGAGTTATTACGTACTAATGCTAAGTAGATACGTAAAGTTGGAAGCCTGTACCGTGTACGTATACATATATACTCCGTATATGCGAAAGAGCGACTACGAGGGAATGACGGACCAACAACGAACTACAAAAAAAATGAGAAGGAGAAAACAAAATGTACGCCGGACTGGAAAGAGTAAAAAGATCGTCGTAGTGGCCGGAGTAGCACCGTTGCCGTAGAAGAAGGTGGCCGCCGGACTGTAGCGTCGTCTTCCAAGAAGAAACAAATAGCCACCGGAGTTGAGTTTCCGACGTGCCAGAGAAGAAGGATTAAGGCTGCCGCAGTTGCACAACTTAGTCAACACCGTCGTGTACCGCCATCACTGCACACCTTCGCCACCGGTGCAAAACGCCATCGCTGAACCATTTCCCTGGTTCGCCGGTCTGCCGCACCACTGAAGACAAGAGATGGACACTTCGTTGGAACTCGCCGATTCCCCTTCTATTGCTCGACGAAGAGAACACCGGAAGAAGAACGACTTGGAGGGATATCACCGGCGATAAGCTCTGTGCACACCTGCGGCTGCGTTCATCCAGTGAGGACGATGAAGATATTGTTCAAGTACGCTGGTTCTTTTAACTCCGTATTATTTTATCTCAATGGGCTAGAGTTTTAAGTTGGGCTAGATTTAATCTGGGCCATCCACAAAACATTGGAATATTATTAGTAAAATCTGGACAGAACTGATAAACTGGTATTTGAGCCAGCGAATCTGAATAAGGAAATTTGATCCCCAGATTGTTAATAATAATTGGATGATTTAACATAACTAGACTATAATAAAATATTAACATGGAGAATTTATAAATAAAAGGGTAGAAGAATCGAATTAATATTTGGATAATACATTGATTTGTGAATTTTAATAGAAGATGGTTTAGGTGTGGAACAAAGTAGAAGATTTCACTAGGACTACTTGGAGTTTGAGGTAAGTTTCTCTGCCAATCTAAAATCGTTTCCTCATATTATATATGTACTATGTGATACGTGATTTTAGTGTGAGTTATGATGTATATGCATGTGATTTTGAAGTTGTTCGATCTGTGATATTTGAGAAGTGAAACTAAGTGCGTTTGGGTATTAAATATTTTATTTAAACATTTTCGAGGCAGTTTGAGAAATTGAGGAATATTTTGAGATATATTAATTCAAGATAAAAGAATGATTTTATAAAGAGGTAGGCATCTTGGGAGTAATCCGGGGTGTCGGTTTTCCACGTCCCTTAAAATGTGGAGGGTGGTTAGGGCTACTACTAAGAAGAAGAGATTTTTGAGTAACTTCCGGATCGATGATCCCTTTTAAGAAGCAGAGTTGTAGTAGTAGTCCTTAATCATTCAGAGATATATATTATTCAGGGGTAGTTGGTAGACTGAGTCCCGATTACTCGTGACGACTTACTACTCGGAGGGCTTGGAATCCCTTTTAGGGGGTGTGCACACTTAAGGTAGTCGTTTCGTTTCCACAAGAGCGTTGTGGTACCGGCATTGATCGGGGTGGCCGTCCGTAACCACGGTTCACCGGGCTCAGCCGAAAGGTTGAGCACCGCCCTTCTAAATTACTAGGAAGTTAGTGAAGAAGAGATTTTTGAGAATTTTTAAGAGAAGAGTTATTATAATATTTCCGAAGAAAAGTTGAGGATTTTAGTAAAGAAGTAATTTTGAGAAGAATCAAAGAGAAAAGAATTTTGGTGGAGTGTGTTATTTTTATATAGAATTATATGAAAAACTATTTTTCACCAAACCTGATTATTTTACGGGGTTGGGTAGTACTTACTTAGCTCTAAAGCTAATTTTTGTTATTTCTTTTGTCCCTCTCTCCTCCCTTAATTTTTAACAGGTGAGGAATTGGACGCCTATGTGGATTGATGGATTGCATGCGATTGAGATCGAATTAGAAGATACCTTAGTCAAATTTAGTCTTGAAATAAACACTTATTTAGTTTTTATTGTTTTATTTTAGTTGCATGTGCATTCGTTCGCGAGATGACCGGATGTGGCGGTAACACCAATTTCCCTATTAAGACTTCCGCTGTATCTCTGATGTTTTTAAATAAAGTTGATAATTTCCTTGAATGATCATTATTTAAATGTATTTTTGGGCGGGAAATTTTGGAGTGTTACAGTATGGGACATGTTACAAAGTAAAACAAAAATAATTATTAAATTGGAGCAATGATTAACAAAGAAAAAAAGGTACTCTCTATTATATACTCATGATACATACGTATGTTGAACATAGACTTCGGTCTTGTTCGGTCTGATACTGATTCTCATAAAGTGACAAGGTGTGGAACCTGTACAACACGTTTGAGATAGAAATTTAGAGATCCATTTGAAACCGTCTTTTGAATTTGATATCATACCGATCCAGTTCGACAGTCATGTGTTTTTGCTCATCCCTATATAGAACTCATATGAACCCTTTTTCATGATAGATCATAGTTTCAATAATTTATTCAATTCAATCATAATTTCAATTATTATTTCAATTTTTCAATAGATTGATTTGATTTGTTACCAAATATGCTCGTAAATCATAATTTTCGAGAACTTGTAATCTCCATTATTCATTTATATAATCAATGACTAATAGGGACAAAGCGACGTTTTTGTAAATATTTAGGATTAATAATAAAAACGCACTCTTTGAATTTGAGGTAGTTATGAATATGATTCTAAGAATCATAAATGAAATGTTAAGAATAAAATTGTTATTAATGAAATACGGAGAAAAAAGTTTGTGTAAAATGCGGACAGCGCAGCTAGGGTTTTAAAACCCTTGTCTGCGGAAGTTTTGGGGGCGGCGATTCCAATCGCTCGACGATTTTCAACGCAGCCAAATCAAAGAAACAATCCAGGCTCGGGCGTGGAGAAGGATTGTTCACAAACGTTCCAACAGGGACTGCAGGAGAAGGTCAACGAACTACTATGCCAATCAAAGGGAAGGTGGAAGGTCTAGGATCAACAAAATTCAGGGTTTGTGGCGGTGATCTTTTAGGAGCGGACCAGATTAGGGGATTGAGTGGAAGGCTTTGCTTGAAGTGGCATGGAAAACTTCAGATTCAGATGTTGAAGGAAGAAGATTAAGGGTTGATGACCCGTCCCCCTCCTGAACCGCTGCCATGGAGGATGACGCTTGAAGTATGGATTCGGTTGCTCCATAAGTTTATTTTATTTAATCTTGTTTTACTCTTTTTGAGTTGTTAATTATGAACCATGTTGGTATTGTTATTTCGATCACTAAGGGGGTATGGTTTTTACTTGGTTTATTTCATTAGATAGGTTTCTGTTGGGAGGCAATCAGAGATGGACTTTTCTATGTATGATTATGACGTGAGGAGGTCGATGGGTTTTTAGTTTTGTTGAGAGAAAGAAATGCAGGTCTTGGCACATGTTTCTTACGTTCGTTTGATTTTAATATAATTTATTTCCTTTGAAAAAAATATACCCAAACGAAATTCATATTTCGCATCTCTAGACTTCAATTTCAACTTTGAAACCAACTGGCAATAATAAAAGCCGAAAGGGACGAACTCTACAACGGCCAGCAGCTAAAATTTCACCCACTGCAAATTTTTAGTGCCAGTCAAAGGCACTCCTCCACCTTCAGGTATTTATTTGTCTTCAATTCAATTGCAGTTCAAAGTCTCACCTACAGAAAAAGGATCGCCGAGGCGCGCTGCAGCCTTCTAACAGACACGAGTCCATGGGCTCCAATGCCAATTTCTGTGACCGGCGCGTGGGCATCATCTACGACGACCGGATGTGCAAGCACAAAACCCCTGATGGCGAGGATCATCCCGAGAAACCTGACCGGATTCGGGTAATCTGGAAACGGCTCCAATCTTCCGGCATAGCTAAGAGGTAATTTATAGTTAAGAATTCGGTGTTTCCTTTCTTAATTCAGTATCTTTAGCATTTAACTGTGTATTATTAAAAATATAAAGCTGCATTAAATTTTATGCTATCAAGCTGCTTTGTTTGAGGTAGTTTATACCTTTCACAAAACTGCGCTTTTTTTCTGGTAGTGATTGCAAAAACAAGAAGAAAAATAGACACTTCACTCATGCTCTCAGAAAAGAACAACCTTTTGTTTGCATTTTATCTTGACATTATTAAGCATTTGTTCTTTTAACGTTTCCTTTGTTTCTTTAAACCTTTTATTTGCATACATATGCATGCTCAGTAGGATCAAGGCTGGGCTTATCCAGAAATTGACCACAGTCTAGGCTGGAAATTGAAAACTAATTTTTAAATTAGAACTAAACTGAAGCATATAAAGAAAGTTTGAATGCATTGATATGCATGCTTGTTTAACTGAGCTTGCATGTGATAAAAATGAACTACAAATGGTATACATCACCAACATATTAATATAAATATATTAAATTGTTGCATGGTAAACAAGACCTTCAAAATTTTGAGCTTGGACTGGAGCCTTCCCATCCCTAAGCTAGATCTGCCGCCAAGGGAACAGAGTGCAGAACTTGAATTTCCAAACAAAGAAGTTTTTTTGGTTAAATGGTTTCTCGCTATTGATTTACTTTGTTGCTTTTATTTTGTATGTGTTGCTTTGCTTGTATTTTCCCTATTCAATTCATTATCTTGGTAATGCTAATGCTGTCAATTTCATGCGGGAATGATCTAACACATTATGGTTGGATATTGTTCTCTGTTTTGATGTTTTCTTATTGCATTCTAGATGTGTAATTCTTGATGGAGAAAATGCTGAAGATAAACATATAGCCCTTGTTCACTCCAAATTTCACACAGAATTTATTAGAAGTATAAGCTCTGCAAAGTTAGCTTCAAGAAGAGATTCGATTGCTGCTCAATTTAATTCCATATATTTCAACGAAGGGTCATCAGAGTCTGCTTATCTTGCGGCTGGTTCTGTAATAAAGGTATTAACGTTGGATTTGATAGTGTATTTAAGTTTCTCAACAGATTTCTACTTAAATAGATGTCAGTGCAACTGCGCTAAAGAGGGTGTTTGGTAGTTTGCACATTAATGTTTTGCATTCAAAATGATTGCATGCGAAGTGTAGGGAATCAACGTGAAATATGATAACATTGTTTGGTTAGGTGTGTAACCCGTTCTAAAATTACATGCAAAGTATTCACGTTTTTTATTATACACTGCAAAGTGTTTAAGAGAAGTGTCTTACTCCTACAGTTTATTTAAAAATAAAATAAAAACAATGTGAACTATTTGCTTCCCTACATTTTTACGTGAAGTACTTTACGTTTTACCAAATGCCTTGGGTGGTTTTAATTGGGTATAAAATTATTCTACACTCGTAATATGTATTTTTTACTACCTATGTTCTTATTTAATTGCAACACTTGAATTTCACGTTTGCCGATGCACACTTTTGACCATTAAAATATTTAATTGGCCATTAGTAAAATCACGTAACGTATCATATTCTGAAATTTTGCGATCGAGGTATGCCGACTAAATTGAAAGGTAAATTTTATCGTACACCAATCAGGCCGGCATTAATGTATGGCGTAGAGTATTGGGCGGTGAAGCAATGCCACATTCAAAAGATGAGTGTGACAGAGATGCGTATGTTGCGTTGGATGTGTGGACATACCAGAAAAGACCGCCTGAGGAATGAGGTAATCAGACAAAAGGTGGGAGTAACACCTATAGAAGATAAGATGCAGGAGTCTCGTTTGCGGTGGTTTGGGCATGTGCATATAAGACCGAGTGATGCACCTGTTAGACGACTTGAGAGGTGGGGAGAAGAGTCATAGAAGAGAGGGAGGGGAAGACCCAAACAGACTTGGATTAGAGTAATCAGAATTGATATGCGTCTTCTTGGGTTGGATGAGAGTATGGCTTTGGAGAGAGCAAAGTGGAGGGCGCACATCCATGTGGACGATTGATGTCTTGTCTACCTTTCCTCTCTTGTTTCTTTTATCGTTTATCTTCCTTATCTTTTTATATTCTTATGTTATTTTTATCTTCTAGCTTTTTTATGTTCTTTTATTTATTTTTCTTTTATCTTGGTTATATTCTTGTGTTATTGTTATCTTATATTTATGTATCTTTATTTTATTCATTTTATCTTACTTTTTTTCCTTTTCTTGTCTGCCTTCTCTTTTTGCCTTCTCTTTATTTAATCTTTTGGGATTAAGACTTGGATGTTGTTGTTGTTGTTGTTGTAGAAATTTTATACCCCGTAATGTTTTGTATTATGTAAGTTTTAATACATTAATAAATAAATGTAATCAAAATTGTATGTGAATAGTGTAAAAGTCAAAGTGTTGCAATTATTAAAGAAAGGAGGAAGTATTATATGACCACATTTGTTTCATATTATGATGTGATGAATTGATGATTGTTGCATCTGCAATCATTACATGTTATTTATAGCATTTATAATACGTAATAACATATTATACTCCCTCTAGCCCGCACACATATTTGATCACTATAATATCAAAATACATATTATTGAAAGTTATGTAAAGTTGAGATTTTGAAAATTCACCTTCAAACAAATCTAACAAGACCTTACATGATAATATTTTCCTTATATATAAATAAACAAATATGGTCAATATTTTCAAATTTTGACCAAATTAAAGGAATGAAAAGCTAAATATGTGCCAAAGCGAGTTATATATTTGATACACAACTATATTTTAAATATGTATAATAATGTATACAATAAATTATGTATACTTCATATTAAAGCTAAGTAATACTCCGTATTTAATTATTTATTGATACCTAAAACAGAGTTTTAGCACACACAATTGTATAGATGGGAATTTATTTCAATATGAGTATATTTAGTATAATAAAAATAATAATAGTAATAGTAGTAGTAATAATAACACTAATAGTAATAATAATAAATTCATAATATATTCGTACTAAATACTGAGAACAAAGCATTGAAGCAACATTTTTACACTAGTTCGTCTTGTCATACCCAACATGTGTCTCTCAACGCTACACTTCAGCCCAAACTTTATAGTTTATACCATTGAACCATATGTAATACGGAGTATGTACCTTACTACCTCATATGCCCATTTTATATGTTGTTTTTTGGTGTAATCAATGCATAATTATAATCTGAATCATTCACAAAAACAAACTTTGTTTCAAAGTATTTGTTCAAGCATCATTATCCTTGCGTATAATATGTTTTGAGATGGAGGGACTTCCTTTTTTTACTCATAGTTTAGTATTCCACGAGGAGCTGCTGATATTAAATGAGAAACTAGGAGAACTTGTATTTTTTACGGTTGCGGAATTAATGTCAGTATGATTTTGGAAATTTTATTTGGTATCTATTGTGTTGTTTGTGGATTCTATTTTGGAACTATTATATCATCATGACATTTATTACTCTATCCATCTCAAATTGTAAGATGCATTTATTTTGCATGCTTAGAGCCCGTTTGGTAGTCTAATTTTTTGGCTTATAAACCAACGTTTTCACCAAGCACGTAATTTTTTATTTCAGGCGCTGAATTGCGTAATAATAAGAAAAAGTAAGGTTGAAGTTATTGTAGAGGATCATTTTAGCTATTTTTACATATAATTTTTTCTTTATTTAATTAATAAATTATATTTTAAATATAATTTTTTAATAAATCAGCACAATCTACCAATTAAGCCACTTCAGACAGAGTTTCATAAATTTCAGCAGAATCAGCCGATTTTGGTATTACCAAACGAGTAATTAATGTTTTTCAATAAAAGAAAGAGAAATGGGGCCCACCAAGTAAAATGTTGAAAGAATAGACAAAGGAATAAATATGAAAAAGTAACAAAAATAATGGTGTGTAAACTAGGTAAGTGAAAATAGATCTCACAGAATGGGACAAAGGAGCATTGTAGTTGTTGCTCCTTTCTACTGCTGCTGCAGCTTTTACACTGTTTATTGATGTCCTGAACAACAAAACAAGTTAACAACTGATAGTATCTTTTCAAACCCATTCTCATTGAAGCTATGAATGCAGGCTGCTGAGAAAGTTGCCAATGGAGAACTTCAGTCTACCTTTGCTATTGTCAGGCCTCCTGGACATCACGCTGAGGAGAATGAACCCATGGGGTTTTGCCTTTACAATAATGTTGCTATTGCAGCAAGTTATTTACTGAATGAACGAGTGAGACCGAGAGCAGTTTTGCAACTTTTATCAATCAAATTTCTTTTATCTGAGATCTTTTTGTCAAAATATCAGATCATTACACATTTCTTTATGCTTTATCTTCATCTTTATTTGTTTTTATTTGTTACATTGCAGAAAGATTTGGGCATTAACAAAATTTTAATTGTTGATTGGGATGTTCACCATGGTAATGGTACTCAAAAAATGTTTTGGAAGGACCCTCGTGTACTTTTCTTTTCTGTTCATAGGTATTTAACCAAGTTTTCGTTTATTCCTATTTATTCAAAGTAAATGTATCATGTCATTTCATATAAATGCCTCACATGAGCCAGTTCATATATAAGGCCCACTTTAACCAGATGTTATACTCCCTCTGTCCCATAAAAGGTCCTCCCTTTGACTTGGCACACTCATTAAGAACTGTGAAGTTGGGTGGTTGGATTTATACAAGGGAAATTTAAATACTCCCTCCGTCCCATTGGACTTTGCCAACTTTCCATTTTTGGTTGTCCCAAAAAACTTTGCCACTTTTCTATTAAAGCAACTAATTTGTTGTTCTGCACATTTCTCTCTTCTCTGCACAAATCTCAACCACACAGTTTTTACTATTCGTATTTCTCACCTACATTGCACTTGGCAAAGTCCACCGGGACGGAGGTAGTAATAATTTGTATGAGCCACAACTTTTTCCTTAAACAGATGAGGAACCTTATTTTAGGACAAACGAAAAAGGAAAGGGAGAACCTTTTCCAAGGGCAGAAGATATATTATAATTTGATCAGAAGGCACTAAGTCTTTGACTGTGCCCCTTTATTCTTTCAAATAGGACAGCTTTCTGTAAATATTTGGCATGTATGTTTTTTATACAAATTCTCAATTCTGAAAATTTCTCAGCGCAATTGCTTGTTCACAGGTATGAATTTGGGAGCTTCTATCCAGGTGGTGATGATGGGTCTCATGTGATGACTGGGGAAGGCTTAGGAGCAGGATATAATATAAATGTGCCTTGGGAGAATGGTTGTTGTGGTGATGCGGACTATCTTGCGGTTTGGGAGCATATATTGATTCCTGTGGCAAAAAGTTTTTGTCCTGACCTTGTCATTGTCTCTGCAGGATTTGATGCTGGTTAGAATAAAACTGTAGCTTGTCAAATATTGTGTATGTGTGTGTGCTGTATTTTACGTTCATTCTTAGCATCAGTCCCTTGTCTTTATTTAATCTGGGTCTCATACTCTCATACCATTCTTTTTACACAGTAATGCTTTGCTTCCCCATATATCTAACTTATAACTAAAAGTTCTCAACTCAATATAATGCTATGAACAGCTGTTGGTGATCCTCTTGGTGGATGTCGAGTAAGTCCACATGGATACTCAGTATTGTTGAGCAAGGTAAGTTGACAAATGCATGCCAAGATGAATAGATTTTCACTTCTTGACGAATCTTTATACCCTTGGTTTATCCATTTGGAAAATGCTAACAAGTGCCTTTAGGATATAGCTTAAGCAATTAAAAGTGGAAATTGGGTTGCAAGACAAATGCGTTGAAATGTGTCAGAAGAGCAAGCTCTTAAGGGTTTAAATTAAAAACTTTCTTCTTTTAGGTCCTTAACCAAATGCCCTGAGGGCGCTGGTTAGCGATAACCTATCCATTTCATTTATAGTTTATAGATTGACGTGCAAAATATTCCTCATCATATTTTCGTTGCAAGTCTGCAACCTAGTTATTCTCTTCTTTCAAGTACAGAAGAAAACTAATTCACATGTGTGACTTTTCTCTAGTTAATGGAGTTTGCTGGAGGAAAAATTGTTATGGCCCTTGAAGGAGGATATAACCTTGATTCTATAGCAAAATCTGTTCAAGCATGTGTTGAAGTATTGCTGCAGCAAGGGCCTATTCCAGGGTCATTAGATGCATATCCATTTGAATCCACATGGCGAGTAATTCAAAATGTAAGAAGATTTCTTTATTGCTTGGTATATTACATGTGATTTGATATTATATGACTACTCTTTTTGTAATGCTGTATGATGTACATCACTCTAGCTACTTCTGACACTGGTGCTGTATTCACGCCTTAATTCATTGTTTCACCTCGATTAATGATGCATGAACAAAACACTGGCAGGTTCGTGAAGAGTTGAGTGTTTTTTGGCCTACACTAACTGTGAAGTTGGACAAGAATGTAACCAATAAAAGAGCACATCAACCTCAGGTGAACCCTCCTTTTTTTGAAACCATGCTGATTGGGATTGGAAACTTTTTTTTTTGAAACAGATGTGGTGCTTACAAGGATAACAGGCTCATAGAGGCGTAGTTATCTGGCTTTATAAATATATGTTTCATTAACTCCATTTCTGAATATCTTACTTTCTATATCTGTAAAAATGGAATCATACAGGGGAGTGAACCTAATTTTATTTCCCAAAAAAGTTGCTCTGCAATACCTCCGGTTCTTATAATTTCATTCACTTTCCACTTCAAAAGTTTGTCAACTTGGAATCATACAGGGGAGTGAACCTAATTTTCTTACATTTTGTCAACTTGTATCAACTCTTTGATGTTGCAATCCTGCTGCTGCAGACCTTTATCTCAGATTCTGAAGATGAACACAGTGGTCCGGATCTGGTATCAGAAGATCATGACAAGGCCATAGAGAACGTGTTAGTGCCACTTTCAAGCCTGACAATTAATCCAGAAGCTTCTGGTAATGAAAACAAAAGCTGTTTAGCTCCTTTAACGAAGCATGTGCATTCATTTGTACTAAGTTGTTTTTTAATTATGCCTTGACTATGCAGACCAAGCAATCACCGTTTCTTCCGCTTGGCGATCAGAACTTCAGCAAACAGAAATCTGGTATTGTTAGAAATTATTTATTGTGTTCAATACTTCAATTATTTTGCTTATATTTGTATTTATGTAGTTATTTGTACTTGTAATTAGATATGGGCCAGCTTTATATTAGGGTCCATTAATGTATTACGTCTACCGCAATATGCTTAACCTTAAGATATAAGATATTTGTAGGGTTAAGCGTATCGAGTACTTTTGATCATTCTATACGAGTATATTCATTACAGAGAGAGCCATCGCGAGAGCTGTGCTAAATACATAATCATTCTGTTCTCTAATCTTTGTTTTATTCATTATAATTGTGTGATTGTTGGATACATGGGATCTACATGGGATCTAATTTTGGACTCTATTTTCACAGAGGTCTGTAAACCTCATATTGAGAAGGAAATAACCATAAACCCTCATTCAGCTATTTTCAAAGTTCACATACCTTCCCAGTCCAAGTGAAAAACAATAGAACTATAAACCAACTTTACGGCCCTTCCTCGGTCTATGGTCCACAGTTTCGGCTCTCAAAGCTTACGGACCAGTCAAAATACGGGCCTTCAACTTCTCGGTCCTTCACAACGTTTGCGGCCCCAAACCAAGCTTTGTGGTCCTCATGTGTCTCTGGCCTAAGAAAGAGACGCAAACTTGGTGTTTGCCATAGTAGTCAATGGCAAGATATGGCGAGCGCCATATGCGCCATGAAAAAGTGGTCGTTGATTCATTGCCATAGCGCCATATGCGCCGCATGCGTCATCGCCACACGCCATGAAAAATGCCTTTGAGCCATGGCGCTCGCCATGCGCCATGACAACTATGGACTGTTTACGGTACAAGAAAGAGATACACAAAGTTGGGTTCGCGTTACAAGGAGACCCGCAAACCTCAATTTTAAGGTCCAAGCACCAAGGTCCAATCCACTTTACCGTCCAAGCCAACCTTTACGGTCAAAGCTTGCTTTCAGTCTAGAAAATTTTCAGAATCAATTCAATCAACCAACGCGTACACGATCCAAATCCGACAATCAAGATAAACGTAATCTGAGGAGTACGAAGTAATTACTTTTGATTCTGTTCTTACTCAAAACTCACGTTCTTTACAAGATAAACACACATCCATGAGCAAAGAACGTAAATCTGTTAAAGAATTAGAAGAAGGTATGGCGAATAATGAATGTGTCTTGAGAAAGAGCTTAGAGGAAAGATCAAGTCTCATGGTACATCTAAGCAATGCACAAGACCAGATCACGAATCGTAAACCTGAGGCTGAAAACTTGGTAGAAAGTTTGTGACTTTGACTAAGAATTTGAATGCTATTGAACTCGAACGGATCGAATTTGTTAACCTATGTGAGACAATTCAAGAGGAACGCAAGAGATTGATTGTATTCCAATATCAAAGATCTGGAAGACATTCTTGCTAAGAAAAGGCCAAACTTATCGAACCATTTTCTTAAATAAGCCTAAGGACATTGAATTATACAATCTTGTAAAAGGCTTGGGCTACCAAAGTTCATGCCATTTAAAGAAAGTGACTTCACTTCAACTTTATGACATAAGGTACATGAGTTTAGATCTAACCTCCTGGATGGCTTTTACTAGAGCTTCAGGAATCAATGCTCTTGAATAGGAGAAAAAAGAAAAGCCAAGGCTGAGGTCTCATTTGATTATTCGGAATTGAACAATATTTATGAGACAAGGGAAATTCCTTTGTCTACGACTATGATTCAATTTATAGTCATGCGAGTGAAACAATGCATGCTGGGAAAGGATTATTTGTTTCTCACGACAGAGTATCTCATAATCAGACTGTTGAAATATAAACTAAATAATATTGAAGAGGGGAGGAAAGATTTTCTGTATATATCATTAGAGGGTTAAAGCCCTATATATATATTACAAAGATGGAATATTCCTATATAAGATGCTATACGATAATAATGTCTAGAGTATATTCCTAAAGCAATCAACTCGAATAATGCTTTCACACTCCCCCTCAAGTTGAAGCACAGATATTTATCATGCCCAACTTGTTACATAAGTAATCAACTCGAATCCCATTTAGAGCTTTAGTGAATAAATCTCCAAGTTGTTCTCTAGTCTTCACATATCCGGTAGAGATTAATCCTTTTTGTATCTTCTCTCGAATAAAATGGCAATCAACCTCAATATGCTTTGTTCTCTCATGAATAACAGGGTTGTTTGCTATGTGTATAGCAGCTTGGTTATCACACCACAATTGAGCAGGCATTGGTGTCTTCAATCCAATTTCATTCAATAAATGGTGTATCCATATTATCTCATATGCGGATTGAGCCATAGCTCGATATTCTGATTCAGCACTAGAACGAGAAACCACATTCTGTTTCTTACTCTTCCAGGATACAAGATTGCCACCAACAAAGACACAATAGCCAGATGTAGATCTTCGATCATCTTTAGAACCGGCCCAATCAGCATCTGCAAAGCATTCTATTCTCTGATCATGGTTTTGATAAACAATACCTCGTCCTAGTGCTCCCTTTAAGTAACATAATATGTGTTCTACAGCAGCCCAATGATCAATGGTCGGAGATGACATGTATTGACTCACTACACTCAAATATCTGGACGAGTGACTGCGAGATAATTAAGCTTTCCAACCAATCGTCTATATCTTTCTGGATCTTCAAATGACATGCCTTCTTGAGTGAGTTGCACATTGGGAACCATGAGAGTATTGCTCGGCTTTGATCCCAACTTCCCTGTTTCAGCGAGCAAATCAAGTACATATTTTCGTTGAGATAGAAATATGCCTTTCTTACTCCGTGTTACCTCAATACCCAAGAAGTATTTCAATGAGCCTAGATCTTTTGTTTGGAACTGGCTATGAAGATAATTTTAAGGGCCAAAATACCTGCATTATCACTGCTTGTAATCACAATATCATCGACATACACCATAAGCAATGTGATACCTGCTTTCGTTCGTCTGTAAAAGAGAGAGTGATCTGATTTGCCTTTGACCATTCCAAATTGTTCAATTGATCGACTGAACTTCCCAAACCATGCACGAGGACTCTGTTTCAGACCATAAAGAGATTTTCGAAGTCGACAAACTTTACCATACTCCCCCTGAGCAACAAATCCCGGAGGTTGCTCGATGTAAACTTCTTCCTGAAGGTCACCATGTAGGAAGGCATTTTTAATGTCCAACTGATGTAAGTGCCAATCATGAGTTGCAGCGAGTGAAATAAGTAACCTGACAGATGTTAATTTAACAACATGAGAAAAAATGTCAGAATAATCAACAACATAGGTTTGAGCATAACCTTTCGCAACTAATCGGGCTTTCAACCGAGCAACAGATCCGTCTGGATTAACCTTAAAACAGCAAAGACCCACTTACATCCAATAGACTTCTTCCCTGTAGGCAAGTCTACCAAATCCCAAGTACCATTAAGATCCAAAGCATTCATTTCCTCTACCATGGCATGACACCATTCAGGATGAGACAAAGCTTCTTTAACAGATTTAGGAACAAAAATAGAATCGATGGAAGCAATAAAAGAACATGAGGCAGGAGAACAATACGACACAAATGAAGAAATAAGATGAGTACAAGATCGTGTACCTTTACGTAGTGCTATTGGGAGGTCAAGATCTGATGTAGAGACAAGATCTGATGATGCAGGTACTGGTTCAGGACATGAGATCGAAGTTGGATTAGTATCAGGATAAATAATCACAGGTGCCGCCGGTGGAGGGTGATCAGGTGCTTTGTGTCGACGGGTGTACACCAAGTGTACAGGAGGCCTAGGGTCAGGAACAGTAACTTGTGGAATATTTGTCGAAAGTGTGGACTCGGGAATAGTCATCGTGTAAATGAGTATATCATCATTATTCTCATGAATATCTGCCTTAGATGATGAAAAAGGTGTATTTTCATGAAATGATGCATCAATAGAAACAAGATACCGACCTATACTCTGACAAAAACATCTATACCCCTTTTGGACTCGAGAATAACCCAAGAAAATACATTTTAATGATTTGGGATCTAGCTTTGTAAGACGAGGATTAACATCTCTAACAAAACAAGTGCAACCAAATATTTTAGGTGGGATAGGAAAAAACTCTTTGTTTGGAAATAGACAATGATAAGGAGCTTTACCATTCAAAACAGAAGATGGCATACGATTTATCAAAAAACATGCAGTAGACACGGCATCGGCCCAAAACTGTTTAGGCACATTCATTTGGAATAGAAGAGCCCTTGCAATTTCTAACAAATGTCGGTTCTTTCGTTCTGCAACCCCATTTTGAGGAGGTGCATCAACGCATGAAGTTTGATGAATAATATCATGCTGAAGCATAAATGACTTAAATGTAACAGATAGATATTCTTGGGCATTGTCTCCTCTTAACACCCGAACAGGAACGTTAAACTGAGTTTTTATTTCAGCACAAAAGGAAGAAAAATGAGTGAACAACTCAGATCGACGTTTCATGAAATACAACGATGTCATACGAGAATAGTCATCAACAAAGGTAACAAAATATTTAAAACCACCTTTAGACACAACCAGGCAAACACCCCAAACATTAGAGTGAACAACGTCAAATGGAGCATTTGCTCGTTTATTAATTCGAGGGCTTAAGCTAGTACGATGGTGTTTCGCAAATTGACATGACTCACATTGTAAAGAGGTCATCTTATTGAATTGGGGATTTATTTGCTTCATTAATGGGAGAGATGGATGTCCTAATCGGTAATGAGCCTCTAACAAAGTCCCGACCCCAAGACAAGAGATACCTTTTGTGATTGATGTATCCAAAATATAAAGACCAGCTGACTCATGTCCTTCATCAATAGTCTGTTTCGTTAACAGATCCTGAAACACACAATAGCCAGGAAAAAATGTTACAGAACAATTAAGAGTACGCGTGATTTTGCTGATGGAAAGCAGATTAAATGCAAAATTAAGAAGACTCAAAATAGGTGATAATGGTAGTGTAGAAGTTGGGACAACGGTACCACATCCAAGAACAGGTGAGGTAGATCCATCAGCTAAAGTGACACTAGAAGTAGGTAAATATGAATGAAATGATGAGAATAGAGTAAGATCTGTGGCACCCGAGTCAATGACCCATTTCGAGGATGAGGAAACAAGACATGTGTTTGAAATACCTGAATTAGCGACTACCGGGATACGGATAGAGGAATGCTTTAGAGATTCTTGGTAGCTAATAAATTTGGCATACTCGTCTGAAGAAATAGCACGTGATTCATAGGAGGAATTGGTAGCGGAAGCAACATGAGCAAGCTGATTTCCTTGATTTTTGAATAGCAATTTTCTACGTTCTTTGATCAAGTGTCCAGGCTTCTTGCAATATTTGCATATAACTCCCGTGTCAAATCCACTTATGCAAGACATTTTTTTTTTCAATTTTTTTTTTTTTACGAAACAGTAATCAAATAAAAGAATCTGAGATTTTCTGAAAGCTTACAACAGCTTCCCCGTTTTTGGACTTGAAATTTGGAGAATAAAATATACAGCTTGGGCCTTGACTGCTACGGACTCCTGACTTAATTCCAGATGCCTAGAGATCTGTTTGTCTGATGCTAGACCCTAGCATGTGCGAACAAAGGAGCCTGCGGATGTTCACAAATATCCTATGCGAGACCCAGTAGAGCAGATGCGGACGTCCACATATATCCCTCCAGATACGTCCGATGTCAAACCCTATCTACCAACCACAGATATCCGTCCCTTGCTGAAGAAAGAACAAAAGAGGTAAAGTTTACCTGGTAGAGGATTTCCATTCGAGTCTCAGGCGAATAGTTCCGATCAAATCTCCGGCCAGAAACACGGCATCACGCGCTGGAGCATGCGGCGTCTGCGAGAACTTTTGGCGGCGTCTGTATTGAACGCGCGGCGATTTTGTTGTGCGGATTTCAAGTGTTTGGTCGGCAGCATGCGTCCCTCCAGAACTTTCTGGACTAAACTAAGGTTCTGAAAGGTTCTGAAGAATCTGAGAACTGAAATCCCTGAAGAATGAATTTGGAAACAGACTGGTGTCTGAAGGTTCTGAATAATCTTAGGACTGAACTCAGTTTTTTGAAGAAAGAATCTAGTCTGAAAATTAAACTGGAATCTGAAAAGAAAAACTAAACTGAAATAGAATGCTCTGATACCATGTTGAAATATAAACTAAATAATATTGAAGAGGGGAGGAAAGATTCTCTGTATATATCATTAGAAGGTTAAAGCCCTATATATATTACAAAGATGGAATATTCCTATATAAGATGCTATACAATAATAATGTCTAGAGTATATTCCTAAAGCATATTCTAGAGCATATTCCTAAAGCATATTCTTAGATACAATAATGCTTTCACACAGACTTTGTAGCTCTAGAATCTAGAGATGTGTACTAGATTTATTGCCTCCACATAAAATTTACTTTAAAGGAGCATAGATACCGGCTAGGATTCGAGGCTATCGAAAGACATATGTTGAGATAGATCAAGTTCTATATGGCTCAAAGACCATTAGATCGCATTGGAGAATAACATGTGAACTTGAAGAGCCCGAAGAACTATGATCCAACACTCGAAGATCACCGAGTAAATCACATTTTCCATACTCGAGAGCTAGCTGTGATGTACCTCAACTTTGTAGGAAGGAAACATGTGGTCATTCTAAGTGATATTGAAATGTATTGAAATGTACAGTGATGAGACTCTGAAGATCATTCTTTGGAATCTCAAAGAACTTTTATATTCTATGAATGATCACACGACTCTAGATTATGACTCTGAAGTAGGGGTGTGCATATTGGTTTGGTTTAACCGAATCGAACCGTACCAAACCGAACTAAATCGAACCGAAATTGAACCATATGCAATTTGGTTTGAGTTTGGTAGTATTTCTTCCAAATCGTATTAAACCGAACCGAAACTGGTAAAAACCGTACAAAACCGAATGAACTAAAGAAATTCAAGAAAACCTTCATATATTACTAAAAAATAACAAATCTGAACCGAATCGAACTAAACTGAACCAAACCAAACCAAAAAATAGTATGATTTTTATTTGGTAATAACTCTCCCAACCCATTATTCCATCATTTGCAATGGAGCCAACGAATCACTCTTTTTTGGTTTGAGAATACAATGGAATCAAGCAAAATGACTTACTAAGCTGTTTGTGTTTCTTTGTTATGAAACATTAGTTAGTCCATGCAATCTTCGACGGTCATTCGGAAACAATCTCTTTGTGCTTTTAGTACACGGGTAAGGCCGTGTACATCCGACCCCCCTTACCCCACCGTAGGTGGGAGCCTTTGCGGCACTAGGGTAATGATGATGATGGATTCTCCCAACCCGTTCCAAACAAAACTGCACCGAAGGTGATAAAAACTGAACCAAAAACCGATATGCCCAACCCTACTCTGAAGAATACAATCTCATCAACAAAGTCATTGAGGGCATCAAAGAAAGGATTGATTTGAAAAATATTGTTCACCATTACGAAGTAGTTCTAGGATTTATGAAATCATTCTACAAAAGACAGAGATAACCCATGCTAAAACGCAGAATGAATACAAAAGGAGAGATTGTTTATAAATTATTTATTGTGTTCAATTACTATGCTAGTATGCTTATCTTTGCATTTTCGTAGTTAATTATACTTGTAATTAGATATGAGCCAGGTTTGTATTAGGGCCCATTTATGTATTACGCCTATATGTAGGGTTTACTTTTGATCATTCTATACAATCATATTCATTATAGAGAGAGAGAGCCGCCACACTAAGAGCTATGTTAAATACCATGTACTCTATTCTCTAATCTCTATTTTATTCATTATTATTGTGTGATTGTTGAATATATGGGATCTACAGGTATGCCGCTTTTGGATCAAATATGTATTTTCCAAGACTTCGCTGCTATATTGAAGGTGGACAGGTATATCTATTTCCTTTTCTTTCCTCGCTTAATATATATATATATATATATATATATATATATATATATGTGTGTGTGTGTGTGTGTGTGTGTGTGTAAATTTAGTATCAAGTGAGAAAGACATCTTAGGAGAGAAATAATAATGAATTTGGCCCGTTATATTTCACAGTTGTGCATTATTTGAAGCTGAAGTGTGCATTGCTATGGATAAAAATTGCGGTGCCATTTTTATAAATAAAGTGAACTTTTTTTGCGGGTGGGAAATGTGCATTGTCTCAAATAGAAAAACTCCATGAACAAGAATAAGAATGTGCACCATTCTCATTTCTCAAGGGAAGAAGCTTTCTCACTGGAACTGGTCTTTATATATATATATAAAGACCAGTTCCAGTGAGAAAGCTTCTTCCCTCGAGAAATACATACATATATATATATATATATATATATATATATATATATATATAAATAACACATAATATATCAACCTACATTATTGTAGGGAATGAATGTGTAAATGTATATATATATATATATATATATATATACATATATATATATATACACACACACATTTACACATTCATTCCCTACAACGTAATACATTATATATATAAATACATACGTAAAACACATAATATATCAATAACCTACATTATTGTAGGGAATGAATGTGTAAATGTATATATATATATATACATATATATATATATATACACACACACACATTTACACATTCATTCCCTACAATAATGTAGGTTATTGATATATTATGTGTTTTACGTATGTATTTTGCATGATAGTGTTATGTTTTTGTTGGTTATTACTAGTAACTTTTATTTTGATGTAACTTAAATTTTTTATATTGATAAAACAAATAAATGTTATCTCAACCATATCTTATACAGCATATATATTCATGGATTTTTTTCAAACTAGTCACAAAAAATGTAAATTAAGATTATATAAACTTTTGTTCCAAAAAATTGAAAAAATATATTTTCTCTCCCGCATACTCATATACTCCGTATAATTCAACAATTATTTATTCTCGTTTTTATTTTATTTGCGCTAGTATGCTTGCATTTTTTTATCTAATATGTTTGACCCCCAACTATCATATCATTTTAAATCAAATGACTATTTTTTGTAAAAAAACAAAAAAAAACAAATCCGAATCGAGATTGGATCTTGATGTTTAGACATCGAGAAAGAATCTCGATGTTTTGCTTAGCGGTGTTCGTCGGTTCGGTTTGGTCGGTTTTCGGTTTGGTCGGTTTCGGTTTTAGGAAAGGTGAAACCGAAAACTGAACCGTAGTACTTGAGTCGGTTTCGGTTCGGTTTCGGTTCAGTTATTTTCGATCGGTTTGGTCGGTTTCGGCCGGTTTTAGCACGTTTTTTGTCGGTTTTTGTCGGTCGGTTTCGGTTCGGTCGGTTTATAATCCAAAAGGTGAAACCGTAAACCGAACCGTCGATGATTAGTCGGTTTGAGTCGGTGTCGGTTTGAGTCGGTTTCGGTTTTGGTCGGTTCGCTTTCGGTCGGTTTGTCGGTCGCTTTCGGTTTTTCGGTTTTGATCATCCAAGTCAACTCCGATGTAGTTGATGACTACGACGAGGCCGATCACCTGCGCAAAAACGAGAAAGAGATCGTTATCAGTGAGACGCGCTCCAAACAACACAACGACATCATCCCATCATTCAAGCCGAAAAAACGGCTAGTGAAGAAGAGCATATTAGAAGAAGAGATGGACCCTTATGCTGACTGTGAACCCTTCCTACAAATAAGCCAAACCTCACCTCTAGGTGCAAAAGTTGACCTTGTCAGTTCCCGGGTAGAAATCGCAACATCTGGTTCAACTGTGCAATCACAACCCTCTCACAGCCACTCTTCATCCTCTCAACAGGCTGGCGTTTCAATAACTCAAGGGGAACTAATACCGACCTCTTTGGTCCCTTCCGTATCAGTTGAGAGACTTAGTGACCAACAGTCCCGGACCACTACCCCTCCTTCTACCATTGAGTCTAGGTGTCACATTCCCAATTTTTTCTAGGACACCTACACTATTCACAACACACACAGATCCACGCACACTGAACGCAACGACCAGAGTGCAAACTATGATGGTCGGAAGTCCTGCTATGCACACAATGACTCAATCGTTGAACGCAGGCCACACATCAGCTCTCCTCACTTCCCAAAGATTTGACTATTATTTTGAATCGTTTTCTGGGGTCCACCATTATGCCATGGTTGCACGAAGCAATAACCGCTCAGGCACAGGACTTCAGAACCACCCCAACGATTCAGAATGAACAACCTCAACCTCAGCCCTCACCCTCTCACTCTCAACAACAACCAACTCACACCGTTTCCCATACCCAATCTGCTCATTCCAAGGGAACCCATGATACATAACTACCATCATCCCCTACATCGACCGCACCTCGCCCTGATCCCTATACCATGTCGTTCGATGATTTAGCATCTGTTATGCTAATGAGACTTCTTGCAATTGACGAAACCGACCTTACCCCTTTCCAACGAGCCCTTCGTCATACTCTACTTTATGCCCCGAAAACCTGTCGTGAAAATCCCCGTGGTCACAAACGTTCACATGAGGACCCAGATGATTCGGCTACTCATGATGAGGAGAACAAGCGGCCACGGACACTTGAGCAAGGTGTTTCTACTAGCCAAGCCCTGCAGCCAAACTAACCCTCATCTTCCACCAACCAACAACCATCCTCCTCCAGCCAACACAAAACTCAAGCCACTATATCTTGTCCATTCTGAGGCTTATCTCCTAAAGATACAGACCAAGGAGGGAATGAAAGTCTTGATGGTGCTATCTCTGGTACATCTTTACATTCAGGCCATCAGTCAGAACCTTGTTCAAAACTGATGACAACGGGAAATCCTAGTGACTCCGGTTCTACTTCTATTAACAGGATGCCACAGCAGCAACAAACTCCCTCTAACCCTCCGTCAGAGTGCATACACGATCAACTTGAAGAAATCATTATCAATGACAAATGGCCTCACGAATGGACGGAGTGGGATGATCCGAGACAGAAAACAGAAGCTTATGAAATGCAGAGAAGCTTGTATCTTCGAGAACTACTAACAAAATGTGTTGCTGATATCATCAGGCTTAATGAAGATGAACTCAAAGAAGGAGAGAACTAAAAGGAGACTCCCAAGGAGCTAGACTCAATCATCAGACAAACAGCGGCTCAAATGCCCAGAAAGGAAAAGCCCTGGGAAAACATCAGAATCAATGCTCCCTTCCAAGAGGAAATCAGAAAGCGAATATGGCGTAGACCAGAGAAAGTGAAAGAACTAGACGAGCTCAAAGCCGAGGTCTTACCCATCTGAAGGGTAGACAGGTCGGAGGACATCTTCACATGCTTAGTCACAGATCAATGAGCAAGCAACGAGAAATCCTTATGCGCGATCCGAAGACTAGCATATCCCGAATCTGGAATATTCTCACTGTGGATGAAGCAGATCATCATGGAATAACATACTACGTCTACAGGGTTCAGCGTACAGATAGCAGCGAGTTCACCTGCCAGGAGAACGATCTCTTCATGCTTAAAATGGATGACATCTATTAGATGTACATGGCCTGCAGGGAGCTTCCTATCAGAAACAACAAAGTGTGCAGAGAAAGATTTAAAGCAATAAAGCGGTTCATGCTAAGACAAGTCAGAGTCCACGCATCTCATGATCTACATATGGCAACAACAACAACAACATCCAAGCCTTTGGGGTCGGCTAACATGAATCGATCTATGATATAGATGCCAAACACAAAAGACATACAAGAAAGAGAAGAAAAAAAGTAAGATAAAACGAATAAAATAAATATAAGATAACAATAACACAAGAATATAAGAAAGATAAAAGATAAAAAATAAAAGAGCATAAAAAACTAGAAGATAAAAGTAATATAAGAATATAAAAAGATAAAGAAGATAAACGATAAAAGAAAAAAGAGAGGAAAGGTATAAAAGACATCAATCATCCACACGGATGTGCACCCTCCACTTTGCTTTCTCTCATCCAACCCAAGAAGACGCATATCAGTTCTGATTCCTGTAATCCAAGTTTGTTTGGGTCTTCCCCTCCCTCTCTTCTCTGCCTCTTCTCCCCACCCCTCAAGTTTTCTAACAGGTGCATCGCTCGGTCTTCTACGCACATGCCCAAACCATCGCAAACGAGACTCCTGCATCTTATCTTCTATAGGTGTTACTCCCACCTTTTGTCTGATTATCTCATTCCTCAAATGGTCTTTTCTGGTATGTCCACACATCCAACGCAACATACGCATCTCTGTCACACTCATCTTTTGAATGTGGCATTGCTTCACCGCCCAACACTCTATGCCATACATTAATGCAGGCCTACATATGGCCCTTGAAAATAATATCCCGAAGTCAAATCTCTCAAAACCAAAGTTGCATGGTCCGGAGCTTGAACAATTTGCAACATATCACATTTTCGATAGCCCGGTTGGTTGCAATAGTCTATCTAGATCATAAAGAAGAGAAGCGCCTAATGACGGTTGAAGAAATTCACAAGTATTGTGATGGTACTCTGAAGATCATCCGAGAGAAGCTGCAACCAATAAAAGAAGATTTTCACAGCAGACTCGCTGATTGCTCAGATGATGAACTTAAGGAGTCAAATAGAGTTGACCGCATTCTGAAAGCCATCAATGATCAACTTGACAAGAGAATGTCACTCAGACAGTATGAGCATGCATTGAATCTCAGAAAGAACTATTTTAGAGCTCAGAAATGAAAGCAAGACGGCAGTTGATCACAAAGGGGGAGATTGTTGAAGAATATTTATTGTGATTCAAGTTTGTCAAATGTCTTGTATTAAATAACCTTTATTATAACCTTTTATAGTATTATTCCTTTGTATTAAATAGGCTAGAAAAGGAATGAGTCCAAACTTGTTAAGCTCATATCCCTAGGTTACCGAAACCTACCTGCGGTTATATATATGCACGTCAGATTTAGGTTATCGGTTAACGTTCGTATAAAGCATATATCATTCTGTAAGCATTCAAGGTATCAATAGAGCAGAGTTTTCACCGTTCAATACATTGTCATATTATTGTTTGAATCTCTGTTTCTGTGATATCAATGCATCCATCCTGCTGTTAGATAGATTACTCTCATAGATTGGGACCAACAGAAACAAACCGAACCAATTAAACCATGATTTCAAGTTTTAAAATGTAAACGGAACCATACTTTTTACTTTGTGTTGGGGAATATTATCCCGGCCTACTACTGTTCAGAGGCCCAAGTCATCACCCGGTATGAAGCCCGGTCAGCAAGGCCCATTTAGGCCTACTCGGCCCGTTTCGGCCTAACCGGCTCGAATATGGATTGTTTCGGCCCATTAGCCCCTCTGGCCCATAAATAGGGAGGAAGGCTCCCATTTGAGGGATGGTTCTTCTCTCCTGGAGAGAGTTCTCCTCCTCCTCTTTATTACTTCTTCCTGATTCTTAGCTTATTTTCATACTCCATTGCTGGAGGTTTACAATTGTATGATGTAAATATGGTGAGGAGAGCATATTAATGAAAAAGAGCGGGCTTGGACGTTAGCCTAAAAAGTCCCGTGGTTTTCTCCCTTTCCGGGTTTCCACGTAAAAATAGCTAGTTTATACACTTTTATATTTATTATTCACTTTTATACGGAATTTATGCTCCTTAATATCCGAAGTTATGTTGGGCTTTCGGATCTACGGGGCTAAAAGTCAACACTTTGTTTCCCTATTTGGGTTTTAGTCGAAATCGAACCGAAAAAACTGAACCACCCCTACTTGGCTACATTGGTTGAATGACCAATTCAAAAGTACAATTACTGGAATTTACTCGTAGTGCATTTCAATAGTACACTGATGTGTTTTTAAACATAACAATGTAGAATCTAACGTCTTATCTCTATATTGTGCCTGCAAGTTAATGTCTATCAACTTACGGAGTTACAATCCATAAGACATGACAATAGTTGATATTTATGGATATATATGGTTAAAAAAGCTGATAATTTTGGTATTATTTTTACTTTTTATAAGACCATGTTGTGTGCTGCAGAATGTCTTTTTTTTTTATTTAATTATTTCAATATTTTGTATGGCTTCAAAATTATAAATTTGTGTTCAGCTCGACGGAATGAAACGACGGTGTGCTGGCTCTATGGATAAAAGCATGCCAAAGGAAACCATATGGAAGACAGTCTGCCATCAACTGTTCTTTGGTTGTGATCATACGGTGACATGGGGCCAGGGGGGTGTTGCTTTTCTTCATCCTGAAAACAGTCAGAACAAATCTTGTGTGTGCCTCTATAGAATTACGTATGCTATCCAATCTTTTATTTTCTTTTAATTTGTGAAAAAATGAAGTTTGCCTTCATTATGATTTGAAACTATTTTTCCTGTTTTTCATTGTTGTAGGCTTGAGCAGTTCAATGATATTCTCCTTCAGGAAAATGTTCCAAGCTATGAAATGACAGCTCCTTTATTTGATTTGACTGCATTATGCTCAATTGAAGATGAAAAAACCATCTTGGTGGGGGCTTTGAAGGTGCACATTCTAGTCTTATGCATCATTTTTGTGCTATTGTTTTTTCTTAAATACCAATTACAGAGAAGTATATGATCGGAGTTGAGTCTCCATGCTCTGACAACCTTTTTTTACCAAGCACCTGGCTGTGAAAAAGAAGGTGAATAATTAAACCTTTTAGGTTTATGTAATGCAATAGCAACACACCCTTTACCCCCTCTGGTACTATAATAAGTACTGAATAGACTACTTTTCGCTGAAGTATTAGATGTAGTTTTGTTCCTTAGTGTTGGAAAAATGGTTTTACAGATTAATATTATGGTCATTTTGGAGCTAAATTATGCAAGGCACCCACGTCTCTATAGGACTAAGTCCTAACATCTTATACTCCATGAGATGAATGTTTTCATATATTATTTAAACCATTTTGAAATGAAAGAGAAATTGTCCCCGAACGCACCGCTTCCGCCGTTCTGCTGGTCGGTTCGGGTTTCGGGTTAGGGTCTTAAACTGACCGTCCGAGTACATGGCTTACAGATAATTCTGTTTGTTTGCTCTCAATTTTAGATAATGCTTGGCAATAGACACAATCGTTTGGTTTTTAGAAGGATCACAACCTTTCTTTCTAAAGATGTCTTTTGGGTGTAGTCTTTTGTCCAGAGTTCTATATATACCCATGATTGCTTGCATTTCTACCGATCCCAAAAAACAATGATTCCGATTCCCTTCCTTCTCCCACCCGCTACTCCATTAACGTTGCATCTTTGAGTTCGCCGGTGTCCTTCCGGAATGTAGACACCGTTTTATCTTGGGAGGCGGTTGCTACTTATGTTGTGGGCAAATTCGTCTTAAGGAGACAACGATTCGTTGGACTCGGTTTATCCAAGTATTCCCATTTACTTCTATTTATTTAATTAATGCATGCAGATCTTATTGAATTTTACATAACACTTAGTTGGGTTACAGAAAATACAGAAAGGAAAATCACACTTTTAGTCCTTCAATTGTTTGATATGGTGTAATATGGAAACTTTCTTTCTGTTTTTGAAAATTTAATCCCCAAGATGTTGCTCCTCTTCTTACAAGTCATTGTTTTAGGTTTCAACCAAGGAAATGATAAAAAACAAATAAAAAATCTTTACAGTTGTTCATTTATCCACATGTATCTTCCTCTTCCATTTACGTTGTTGTTAGTGCCACACACCATGTGCTCCGATGTTCTCGTGCATATTTTTACCCTCAATCCAGGGATAAAAGAATTCCACTTTCCATATTACTTCTCCTCTTGACCACATATGTAGTCAATTCTCCCGTCTTCATGACTACTACCACTTTCGAGAACTTCCGCCTATATTTACTTGTTGTGAACTCTATTTTTTTTTAGCATTACTTCACATTCAATTGCTTAGCTTAAGTCTGATTTTATTGTTTTCCAAGATTTATTTATTTTTGTTGGGGGAATAGTCATTGAGTTGTTTGCTACAACTTGTAGCCTACAAGTATGCAATATGTCAATTGTAATACCATTTTATGGAAAATAGCACTTTTCAGTTTAGGGCCACTGGAATAGGCTTGGATTGGGACAGGCAACTTTATTTAATTTTTTCTTGTTATTATATAATAACATCTTTTTAGGATTCATTTTCTGTTCACGGGGTTTTACTTCAGATTGGACATTGTATTTTCCATAGTCCTCGAGGTAACATTATTTCATTTTCATTTTCATTTACCCCAGTGCCGAAAAGGCTCCCACCTACGGTGGGGTAAGGGGGGGTCGGATGTACGCAGTCTTACCCCTGTACTAAAGCACAGAGAGACTGTTTCCGGATGACCCATAGTGAAAATCCCGTCCAAAATTGCATGGACTGACTGCTGCTTCATAACAAAGAAGCGCAGACAGTTTAGTGAGCCATTTTGCTTTATTCCATCATAATCTCAAGCTAAAAAATAATGAATCCTCGAGGTAACATTATACTCCGTATATTTTGATCGAATATCATGGATGCTGCTTGAATTTTATGTAGAGTGGCTGGTACCACAATGTTCTTTACTTGGGGAAGGAGAAGGGAATCCCGATTCTAACAATGACGTAAGCGCTAGTATCATGTTCTTCCCAAACATAGCCTGTCTATCTTGTACATGTATTATTTATTTTATCATCTATTTCTTGTCATACAGTTGTAGCTTGCCAGTTATTGATAGCTTCAGATCAGGTAAGTTTCCTCTCTGTGCACCTTCTCAAGGCTATGCTGATGTCCTGATCAAAGGATTGGTGGAGGGGAAGCAATTCTCAGAAGAGCAGGCCTCTGCATACATCCAAGATGCTTCTACCAAACCACTGTGACTCCTTTCTCACTTTGGTCATTTTGTTGTAAAAGTCCGAGTCACTTTGGTCACTTTGGCGTCAGTTAATGAACTATTGAAACACTTTTTCTAGTCTGCTGTGTTTTAGGAACTTTTCTCATGTTCCTTAGTAGGTGTAGACACCACCGTGTCCCGTGTAGGGAGAGACCGGAGGAGGCCTCGCCCCCCAAGAAAAAATCCTAATGTATATATAGTGTATAAATACTTTTAATTTATAAAAAATATTTTGATATTCTAAACTTTCGCCCTTGCAATATAAAATTTTCAAGGCCCAACCCCTCTGATCATAGATTTCTGGTCCATGTTATAAATTATTACTCCCTCTGTCCCTTGTAAATTTGCCAATTTTCATTTTTTGGTTGTACCACTAATTTATCACTTTCTGGCTTTTCTTTTTAAACAAAGAATTTGTGGTTCATGTTATTCTCTTTCTCTAAACAGACTTCATCCACACAGTTTTTACTTTATTATTCTATGTGTCAGTCAACTTTGGTAAAGTTTTGAGGGACGAAGGGAGTAAAACCTTTGCCACTGAATAAAAGACGTGGGCTAATTGTGGATCATATTGTAAGAAATTTCACTTTTGATCTGAACTAATTTGATCTGATAGATGTTTGGTCTATCATATTTTACAACTGTCGAAGTCTGGTTGGTTGAAGTCTTGTCTTGATCTAGACAATGGGTGCAAGTGAAAAATCCTAATATAACTTATTACTATAGTGATTAATATGGTGCTAATTAATTACAATAACAATACATTAAAAGAATAATTAGTAATGTAACAAAAAAATAATCGTGACTAGGCATGGACCGGTTCAGGTCTGCCCGGCCCTGGAACTGGACCGGTCCGCCACTGTGTGGGACCAGCCCGTCCCGGGCCTAGGACCCGACCTGGGGGTGTTTTGGGGTCGGGCTCGGGCTGCAGGGTTCTTTGGAACCAGCCGGTCCGGACCCGGTCCGGGCTATTTTTTTTCAAAGTCTTTGAGTGGTAGGTGGGTTGGGCTGAGTGTTTTGGAGGGTTTGCGCCTTTGCGGTGTGGGGTGGGGGAATAGGAATTAATTAGAAAAGCAAAAAAAAAACGCCACCCGATCCGGTCCAGACCTGGCCCGATCTTGGTAGAATCCCGAGCTTGTTCCAGGCCTTAACCCTCAATAAAAAAGCCCGGTTTGGACCGTACTCTTACTATTTTCCTATGCTAAGTTGCCCACCAAGATTTTAATGAAAGTTTTTAACTTTATTCTTTTATGGTGAAAGGCAATTCTCTGGAAATAGTTAAAGGGTTTTGGCATCATCAAAAGGGGGGAAATTGTAAGGAATAAATGTAATTAGATTTTGATGATGCTAGGTTAATTAGAATTTGAAAGTATCCTTATAAAAATTTTATATTAGAATTTTTCTTTGTAAGTATTAGCATAGTCGACATGCCAGAAACCCTCTTGGTCTCTACCAGAGTTGCTACCAGAGTTGCTCCCAGAATTGCTCCCAGAGTTGCTCCCAGAGTTGCTCTCCAGAAAAGCTACCAGAGTTGGGTACCAAGGCAGGTACCAGAGTTGGCATCAGAGGCGGACTTCAGAGTTACAACCAGAGAGCTTCATCAAACTTGCTCTTACTTACCAGAATTCGAAGGCACTTTCCAATAGCCGTGAAACTAACGGAAAATTCTCTAACGGCTAGGAGCCATTCGACGGAAACAAAGTACTGTACTCGCATTAAATGCTCAATTAATGTTGTACGTACGAAGATATATTTAAAGCTGATGATTGACCATGCGGATATCTTTACGCCCCTAAAATAGCAAGTCGAAGGTCCAACCGGTCAAATCAACAGTACGAGCATTTAATGAAGCTGTCTTCTACACTTCAACGGGAAGATTGCTCCCAGTATATAAGATACACTTCGAAGAACTACCAGGATAACTTTAGCTCTATAACTTTGCATAAACTACACCTTCTGCAAAAAAAAGCTTTCTTGAGATTTCAAAGTCATTCACTTCAACAAGAAAAGCTTACGTTGGAAAGATATCAATCACTTATCCTCTCATCCAACAAAGAGCAAAGTTCCTCCAGTTCTTCAACACTTCGAAAGTCTCATCTACACATTTTTTGTGAAGAAGCTACGTTGGAGAAAACTGATCTTGAATCAAACACTTCTTGAAAAAGAAGGGACGTCTCAAACTAACCGGAGTAAGTGAAGTGGGGATACTTCCAAGAGACTCAGTGAAACGAGACCAGCCATCAGGAAGCAGGACTGCATCCCGGGTGGCAACTAGGCTTGAAGAAGACGAGGAGTGCTTCTTAAGTTCTAGGGACTAAGGCGTTGTAAATTGTTGTTTTTGCAAGCTTAGTGGAACAGTGGACTAGAGGAACACGTTGTTCCTTGAACCACTATAAAAATCCTCGGTGTCTTCTACTTTACGCTTTTATTTCTGCACTTAAGATTTTGACTGTTTAAGTCAAAAGGTTGGTCTTCGTGTTCAGCAGATCACCCTTAAGAGTTATCAGAAAGGCATTTGCCTTAGTGTTTTCTGAGGCTACTCGGACAGAAACCAATCCGCTACCAGGTCCAGTTCTGCCATCAGAACTTGACCTTCTCTGTCACCAGGATTCGACCATCTCTGATTAGTCAGTAGTGACTTAGAGAAAAGTTTGAAAATCCTGAACAGTCTATTCACCCACCTCTAGACTGTTCGCATTATAAACGGGACCAACATACTTCTCTCTGCTAGGTAGCCCCTGAAATTTGGCCTTTTTTAAAATCTCAGTTGCTTTGCCTTTGCCACAAACCCGCATGGGTGATTTGAAATTACAGAAGGCTATGAAGATATTTTTAAGCCAAGGGAAAGAGGAGAAGAGCCAAGGTAGCATGAATGGAAAAATTATAGGCGCAAGGATATAAGTGGTATAGAATGTGCGTTATTTAATAGGCTGAATAGCAACGCTCGGACTAGCAACGTTTTAATTCAGCCTCTTTTTTCCTACATAAGCTCAGTTCAGCTCTCTCTCCAAACGGGGCTACCTTTACGATAGTTAGCTGAATTTAAAGAATTTCAGCCTTTTATGAGCTGAAATGGTATGCCAAACATAGCCATAGTATTAGTAAAAAATGGAAGCTTATGACTTTTATTAATAGCACATGACATACAATGATGACGAGACACATTATTGATAGCTAATTTAGGAAAAGATAAACGACAGACACGACTAGAAGGGTGACCAAAAATGTGATGCCAATGAGGTGGCAATGTAGTCTGAGTGACATGAATCTGAGGTGATTTGTGAACCGGTGCGTAGTAGACATCATATTTATTCTCCCCTCGGTGCGTACTAACATAATAATTAGTATTTTTGCCTCATTCATTAATTATTTAGTGATTATTCAGATATAAGATTATTAATTGGAATAAAATGAAAATTTAATGGTAGTTTGATGATAATTATAACAAATGTCATTATGAATAATCTTAATATTTTATAATACTCCGTATAATTTAAAAACTAGTAAAATAGTCACATTTAAAATATTAGAGAAAACTGTCAATTTGGTCCTCCTACTATCACGAAAAGGTCAATTAGGTTCTCATACTTTAAAAACAATCAATCAAAATTTAGAAATTTAAAAAAACGTTCAATTGAGTAAATTAGCAGGATGCTTGTCTTATTAGCAGGTCACTCACTGACATGGCCCACACATGGCAGTTCATGTGTGCACCACATCATAGATAAATGGCCGATTAGGCTTCCAAGTGTGTGCCATGTCAACAAAGTAACTGCTCACTAGGCTGCCACATCAGTACGGAAAAACAATTAAAATACTTCAAACTTTAAAGGGGTGTAAGTTAAACACCCCAAACTTGCATATGTTATTTAAATACCCCAAACTTTATATAAAAAGTTATTCTAGCACCATGATTATGTATTATTTCTTTCAAAAATGTAAATTTATGGTGTCAATTGCATAATTTAAAACAGCAAATTAAAATCATTGCAATTATAAAGATTGGGGGTAATATTATATGCTACGCATTTCACAATGAAAGTTTGGAATGTTAATTGTCCTCATAAATGCTAAAATATTTTAAAGTATGCAATTAACATCATAAAGTTACATTTTTGAAAGAAATAATGCATGACTATATATGGTGCCAGGGGTGGACCGTAGTAGAGACCCAGGGGGCTACCGCCCCCCCAACATTTTTTTTTAGTGTATATATATACGAAAAATAAATTTCGCTCTTCCAAAAAGTATTTTGAACCCCCCCAAAAATATTTCCGCCCCCCAAAATGACTTTCCTGGGTCCACCCATGTTTGGTGCTAAACTAATTATATATAAAGTTTAGGATATTTAAATTACATGTGCAAGTTTGAGGTGTTTACTTAACACCCTTCAAAGATTGATGTATTTTAATTAAGAGCCCGTTTGGCAGCACGAAAATCGGCTGTTTTGGCTGATTCTGCTGAAATTTATGAAGTTGTGGCTGAACTGGCTGCATTGGCTGATTCTGCTGATATAAGAAAAAAATATTTTTAAAATATATTTTATTAATAAAATAAAGAAAAAATTATATGTTAAAGTAGCTAAAATGATCATCTACAGTAACTTCAGCCAATACAGCCAGAAAAGTAACTCCAACCTTACTTTTTCGGCTTATTACACAATTCAGCGCGCAAAAGCAAAGTTTACGTGTTTGGTAAAAAAGTTGGCTGATAAGCCTGATAAGCCGAAAATGAGGGTTGCCAAACGGCCTCTAATTATTTTTCCCTTAAAAGTAAAACTTTCATTAATCAGTTGGTATGGAGTGTGTATAACGTGCAACCGGTATACGGTGAGCACCGTATACCGGGACGGATTTGTATTTTTTTTTTCCTTTTGCTTTTAAAAAATGGTAATAACTTTTTTATTTTTGATTCGATTTTTATAAAATTTATATCAACATTTTTTATTTTTCATGATCTTTCAAATGAGACCAATATTGCCTATGTAATTTTAACATATTAACATTTGTGTGTGAAATATGTAACTTTAAGTGTTAAAATATGTAACTCATGTTCAGTCAAGTCAAATGCAACTCGTGTGTATAAATATGTATCTCTACGTGTAACAATATGTAACTTTACGTAAAAAAATATGTAACTCGCATTCAGACAGGTCACATGCAACTCGTGTGTATAAATATGTAACTCGCGTGTATAAATATGTAACTTTACGTGTAAAAATATGTAACTTTACGTGTAAAAATATGTAACTTTACGTGTAAGTATATGTAAGTCGCGTTCAGACATGTCAAATGCAACTCGTGTGTATATATATGTAACTCGCTTATAAAAAGATGTAACTTGCTTATAAAAAGATGTAACTCGCTTATAAAAAGATGTAACTCACTCGTAAAAAGATGTAACTCAATGTATTATCAAATGTAACTGAGGTCACTGATCCACTTCCAAACAAATTCGATCTTCTATTTCACAAACATATCTTCGATTTTTCTTATAATCCAATACTCATTAATATAATAGTTCGATAATTTCTTAAAATTACATACACAATATTGGTCTCATTTGAAAGATCATGAAAAATAAAAAATGTTGATATAAATTTTATAAAAATCGGATCAAAAATAAAAAAGTTATTATCATTTTTAACATCAAAAGCAAAAAAAAAAAACAAATGCTACGTCGTTTTTGCCTACTCTGCGTCGTTTTTGCAACCGGGCGCACCATCCTCATGGTGCGCCGGTTGCACCATATAATTTGCGATTGGTATGTAGCCATTGGGTCAGGCGAATCATGTATATGAATCATGTTTTTCTTTTCCCAAACTCCTAATTACTACAAACCTTAGTTATCATCAAGCAATTATGATAAATACATGTCTGCGGCTAAAAGAAAAATATATTTGTCAAACATACGTATATGTTTACAATTGGCTAATATAATGAAGGATGACTTTAAAACATTAAAAACCCGTTTGATAGTCCCAAATTTCAGCTCATCAGCCAACATTTTAATCAAACAAATAATTTTTGATATAAAGCATTGAATAGTGTAATTATTAAAAAAATAAAGTTGAAGTTATTGCTCTAAATAGAAGCAAAAACGTTTTGAAATTTCAAAATAGGAGTATCATGTTTTTTATTTCTTTAATAAGAGTAATCTGCCAAGTTTGAGAAAAAATGTCATGTTTTAAAGTCGAGTAATGTCAAACTTGGCAGAAATTTACTCCTATTCAAGGAATAAAAAACATGATACTCCTATTTTGGAATTTCAAAACTTTTTTACTCCTATTTAGGGAATTCTCTCTTATTTTTATGGTTGAATTAACTAAAATTATTGTAGAATGTTATTTTAGTTATTTCTTCGTATGGAGTATAATTAACCTTATTCAACCGCTTGTGAATGTCATCAAATGGTTCTAATCAGGCCGAGAATGAGAGGTCTCACGTCTTCATTTGACCAGTACTACGTCGTATGGAGTATGGGTTCGTTCTATACTGAGACTAGACGAGACGGTTTCTGGCTTAAAAATTACCGCATCACAGCCTTGTCGTATCTACAGCATTTTTAGCTTCAAGAATCCGTTAGAGAAAACCCTAGCTAGTTTCTCACCGGTCCAGTAGAAGAAGAGATCGGATTAAGATGGCGATGGCTGCTCTGATTCGTGAAGGGAGGCGTTTGGGCGCCGCTCCATTCTCTTCTACTAACACTCTCATTGCGTACCGACCATCTATTGTCTCCAATTCCGAGTATGCTTTGTACCTCTTTTCTTCCAATTTCTTTCTCTTCGTATCCTGATTCAAGTTTTCGAATTAAATAAATTGGTTGGTTTGTTGAGTGTTTTAATATGCTTTAGCGGGTTGCTTGACATTTCGATGCATCGTGAAAAGTTAGGATCTTAAACGTACTTTTGCCGATTTGTTATGTTTTAGATTTGAAATGGAACCGCTGGTAATTTGATATTCTTCTAGTCTCTTAACGCTTATTTATGCCAATTAGCACCATAAAATTCGTCATTTCTAGTGATGCCCTTTAAAATCTTAAATATGACTGGTAGGATTATGGTGTGCTCTAGAAATGTATTCAGGTAATGGTGTGCTCTAGAAATGTATTCAGGTAATGGTGTGATGCATTATAATCAAACATGTTTCTGGTTTTCGAGAGATCTTGGTGGTGGCTGAATTTGGCAGCCACTCCTCGAAATTCCCCGAGTTACATAATAGAGATATGTTTATATTATGCATTGTTCTAGTCATTTTTCATTTGGGTTCCAAAGGGAGGAGAGCGATAAACCATCTGCTGCTGATCATTATCGGCAACTTGTATAATCATTAAAACATATGATACTGGAGTTGCCACTGAGGTGGACAGGTGTGAAAAAATTTGTGCTCCCCAAGAAGAAAATCCATTGTATCCCATTATTTATTTTATACCTATTTTGTTGAGATAATGTGATTCATCTTTGGTTCTTACCCCATTTTGATGGTATTCTTCTATATGACTATTAAAAAGTAAAGGACAGCCTGGTGCATATAAGCTTTTCAAATATGCTGGATTTCGGCAATGGTCACTTACTATGAAGAAGGAATATTAAATCATACATGTGTACCATAATCCGAGTATTTTACCTAAAGTTCAAATAACTGAATTATGCAAAAGTTCATATTATTATATCTGTTATGCTGCAAGTTTTTAATTTTCCAATGAAGATTTATGCTATATGCAGGGAGATATGCTCAACAGGAGTCCGCTTTATATCTACACAAGTTGGTAAGACTGATCTTTACTTTTCACTTGTGCTTTCTAGCACTCCTTGCTCGGTCCAGTTTCCTCCAAATGCCCTTTTCATGGAAGAATTGTTTACCTTGACAATAAATCATTACAGTGAGGAACCGGATGAAGAGTGTTAAAAACATTCAAAAAATCACAAAAGCAATGAAGATGGTTGCAGCTTCAAAGCTTCGAGCTGTACAGGGTAGAACAGAAAATTCACGTGGCCTTTGGCAGCCATTTACTGCGCTTCTTGGTGACACTCCTAGTAAGTGTGTGGATTTAACGAAAATGAAATGTTGTTAATTTCGTAAACCTAATTTCAAAGAGGTGGATTTAGTGAATTAGGAGCCTTTATCTTTGTTCTCGGGCAACTTTTTTCATGGTAGTGAAACAATTGAGGTGTAGGAATGGAGGTCCAAACTCCAGAGTAATGTATATTTACTTTCATGATGTGATTGATGTATCTGATATGTGCGTGTAGACGCAATTCAAATCCTTATGTACATGTGGCGGACATGCCACACTTCTGCCCAACGTAAGACATCAGGAAAAAAATAAAAGAACTACATTTTAGGATTATGTGATGCACTCATGCGCCTCATGTATTTCATTATTTTATTGCTTCATGCTCAAGAGGCGTGTGCTCATAAAAAACAGATAAATTACTAAACTGAAAATCTAGCTAGCTATATATAGAGTTTGTAATTGAAAATGATAAAGAATCCGAAGTAGTTTCAACTTCCACTTTTTTCACATATCTTTAAGTCCGGAACAACCTCGTTGTGTAATTAGGAATTTTAGTGAGTATAATGAGGACTGACACATAAGGTGTTATATTGTTTGGAGGATACCAATAATTAGGATGAACCTTATATGCTTGATGTTATTGAAACTTAGATCATCATCATTTTCATTTACCCCAGTGCCGCCAAGGCTCCCACCTGCGGTGGGGTAAGGGGGGTCGGATGTACGCAGTCTTACCCCTGTACTAAAGCACAGAGAGACTGTTTCCAGATGACCCATAGTGAAAATCTCATCCAAAATCGCATGGACTGACTGCTGCTTCATAGCAAAGAAGCACAGACAGTCTCAACTACTCTCAAGTGGTCAATAGACTCGACACCTATTTTGCATTAATTTAGATAGCGTACAAAATTTTATATGACTATCTCAACTACTTTCAAGTGCTCAACAGACTCGACACCTATTTTGCACTAATTTATTGACACTTCCAATACAACAACATCAAAGCCTTAATCCCAAAATAGTTTGTGGTCACTTCCAATTTTTCATTTTCATTTATCCCAGTGCCGCAAAGGCTCCCACCTACGGTGGGGTAAGGAGGGGTCGGATGTACTCAGTCTTACCCCTGTACTAAAGTACAAAGAGACGGTTTCCGGATGACCCATAGTGAAAATCGTGTCCAAAATTGCATGGACAGACTGCTCCTCCATAACAAAAGAAGCGTAGACAGTTTAGTGAGTCATTTTGCTTTATTCCATCATAATCTCAAGCCAAAAAATAATGAATCTTTGGCTCCATTGCAAATGATAGAAAATTGTGATCACTTCCAATATTTGCATTATTTAATACATTGTTTAATAATTTTTCTGCTATATTTCAGATTATCAAATAATAATAAATAATTGTTTAACTAAATATCTAGCTTACTATCTATAAAATATCTAATCCAACTGTGATTTAAAAAGAATCCTAAATAACTTTAGCTTACGTTTTGAACACGTCTTCAAGCCTGGAACAACCTCGTTCTGTAATTAGGAATTTCAGCAAGTATAAAGAGGATGTACATATAAGATGTGATATTCTTTTGGAGGATACAAAAAATGAGGATGGCTGTAAGAATGGATCAATGGGGTCTTTTTCTTTTGAGCTCATTTGTTTTATCCACAAATGGTTAAAGGGCTTCTACGTGTTGTTCCACTCTATTATTAGAAAGGATACTTTCAGTAATGCCTATTGGTTAGCTTGTTATAGTAGTAACAGAAATCTAAGAGTCAAATAGTTGCCAAATTTTGTAGAGGGTGCACATTCATGTGGACGATTGATCTCCTTTCTTTTTTTCCTTTCATTTTCTTTTATCGTTTATCTTCTTTGTCTTTTTATGTTCTTACATTATTTTTATCATTTAGCTTTTTATGCTCTTTTATCTTTCTTACATTCTTATGTTATTGTTGGCTTATATTTAGTTATCTTTATCTTATTCGTTTTATCTTTTTTTCTTCTTGTCTGTCTTCTCCTTTTGGCATCGATATCATGGATCGTTTCATTTCATGTTAGCCGACCCCAAAATCTTTTGGGATTAAGGCTTGGACATGTTCTTCTACATGTACTTCCACAACATCCTTTTGTCTCTCGTCATTACTTCCATCTTCTTCCACATGTACTTCCCAGCACATGTACACAGATGCAAGGACATGGTGGCATAATGCTCCTTAATGTTGTAAAGGAAATAATATCCCAACATCTGCCTCTTTTGTTGCAATCTTGGCTTTTCTGCCAACATCTTTTCCAGGAGCTGATTCCTTCAGATTCTGTGAAGGATAAGGCACCGCCTGCTGCAACACAGAAAACAACTACTTGCTTTTGAACGCTTTCTGGTTTCAAAGATAAATCCACACGGTACTCTATCTTGGAGACATCAAGTACATCAGCCAGAATAATAGAGTCCAGAATCCAGATTCACCTTGAGTCCACCCAACTGAAATTCTGAAATCAAGTCAACAACATCACCATAATTCTTAAAATTGACAACACACTGAACTCCTTTATTTCATGAACTTTTCCCTCTACAATGTTACCAAAAGCAAACTTATCTGTCCATTTCAATCGAAAATCTGAGGAGCTCCAAGATAGAAGCTTGACACTCTTGTGTTTAGAAGGAAAGCATTCTTGACTAATTGAAACATCACTTGAAATGCATAATGACTGTTCAGAGGTATCGATTCTCCTGTCATCCGTACCTTCGCTTTTTGGAGGAGATCCATTCAAATGCCCTAGATAGCGAACAGACACACCACTCCCCATTCTGCTATGAATTTACCCCTTTTTGTGGTATTTTTCTCCCAAGGGAAATGATAAGCAGCCTGTTCCCACACACGCGAACTCTCCTTCACACAATCTTCTAGCTGTTTCAAGATCTCCATACGTGTTTGTGGAAAATACACAGTGGTGCAACATGTCTATAGTGTATGTCATTCCTTGATCTGCCCCCTCATTTACCTCGATAACTTTATCCAGAGAACTAACTTGTGCACCGTGATCTGCATATTTCTTCCGGTAAACCAAAAACGCATACTTCTTCATAGTGTTCCCGTTTGCTACTTTATCAGTTTCCTCCATTTGTGCAGACCAGGTACCAAAATCTAGAAAATTGGTTCTCACAATGCTCCCTACTCGTTCCTCTTCATGACATATTGCAAAATCATCTACTCATCGATGTCTGGTGGCAGCCTCATGTTTAATGTTTGAATGCATTCCTTTTCCTATGACACTGATGAAAGCTGTATCTGTTGCTTTGCTATTAATTTCATTATTAACAGCCGTATACGAGGTAGCTTGAGACTCTTCTACTTGTCCTGTGACAGTAATGACTTCCTGTTGAGTGAAGCTTATATATATTTCAGGGACCACTTTGTGCTCCATTTCCGTAGTATTTGAATCGGCAACTTTATCATCTGCCGATTCACATCCACATGGCAGTAGAGGTCTGAGTCACCCCATAAAATTGCTCCTTGCGTCCATTGGCTTCATCGCTGAACGTGTCTTCAGATGAAGATTTCCGCAGGTTAATAGACTCCTGCTGTGAATCTGGGGACTCGAAAAGAGAAAGCGAACCGAGGACTTCTACTCGCGTCAAAGCCAGAGGACCAGAAGAAGTTGCTTGCAAACTCCGAGAAACGGCTTGAGATGAAGAACACGAACAGTGAGAATCGATTGGCGAAGATGAAGGTTCTCCTCTCAATCGTTTGCTTCTTGGATGCAAATCGATCACGGGTGAGTAAGCCTGCGAACGGAGACTCTGTTAGCGACTGCGAACGGTGAGAAGAAGTTCGCGATTGTGAACTAAGAGAAGCCTTTCGCGACTGCGAACTAGACGAAACAGTTCGCGACTCCGTCTGTGAACTGGTGAGCGATTTGCGATGTGATGCGTAAGATGCATGCGATCTGCTTCGCGAATGACTCTGGATTCTTTTCTCCAGGTTTGCGATGCTTGCTTGTATCGCTGCCAAGGTTGCCGCAGTTGTTGCCGCTGTTTCTTGTTGCATCCTTTCCAGTTCGTTCATTCTTCCTTCCATTTTTGCACGCGTAAAGATCATTCACAGTGATCGGCGTGCTCTGATACCACTGATAGAACAATCACAGGTATGTAAGATTTACAGAAAATTTGGAAGAGAATTCAAGAAACAACTCAAGCTTTCATTAATGGTGAAGAAAGTACAGAGCTCCCAAGAAACAAGATACCAATATCTCAGCTTCTCCTAGCCCAAACTAACTGTCTAACAGCCTACCTCTTTTTCCTCCCCTCCCCTTCTATTTATACTACTTATTATTATTATTATTTCTATTATTAGCCTAATAGGCCCAATTCCTATCAAAAAATAATCCAAAATTATTTGGTGTTTACTTAAACTGCTTGTGCTTGCCTTTTGGCTTTTCATATTTGTTAATGGCCTATTTTCTAAGCGCCTGATCATCTGTCTGGTTACCTCTGTTGTCACGTTTTTGTTGCTATAATAGGTGTTGATGTGAAGAAAAATGTCATCATTACTATTTCTTCAGACAAAGGTCTTTGTGGAGGAATCAATTCTACATCTGTCAAGACAAGTCGAAATATTAACAAGTTAAATTCTGGTAAAGCCTCGAACTCTTCTTCATGAGTGTTCTTGCTCCAATTGGAATTAAGTTGCTCAGTATTTTCTGTACAACGACTAGGCCCTGAGAAGGAAAACAAATATGTAATTCTGGGAGAGAAGGCAAAGGCTCAGCTGTTGCGTGATTCTAAGAAAGATATTGAATTGGTTATGACTGAGTTGCAAAAGAACCCTCTCAACTATACACAGGTTGTGGCTTATGTTTGATCCGCTACCCACTCACTTTGACTTTAATGAAAACCAACTCTTACCCCATCTTTCCATGTTGTCTACATTAGAAATCCGTTCTATTATTTATATACCAGGCAGTTTGTAACCAAGGGAAAAAAATTTAAGACTGAACTTTTACTTGTCAAACTACTAATTACTTTAGAAGCTGAAAATGATCTGATGATTTGAATAGGGAAGTAGAGGCTGAGGATCTTTTATGTGTTTTCAGGTTTCTGTGATAGCTGATGACATCCTAAAAAACGTGGAGTTCGATGCTCTAAGAATTGTTTTCAACAAGTTCCAGTCAGTTGTCTCATTCATACCAACAATGGCCACTGTATTATCACCTGAGGTAATGAATCTTGTTTCGCCTTCATCCTCCCTTATCCACATTATTCCTTTAGAGTTAATATGCTTCTTTGCCGTTTCATCCCCTGTTTTCTAATGTAGGCTGTGGAGAGAGAGTCTGAATCTGGGGGGAAGCTTGGGGATTTGGATTCTTATGAAATTGAAGGTGCTGAGTCCAAGTCTGAAATCCTTCAGAATCTCACGGAGTTCCAATTTTCATGTGTATGTGATTCTTCCCACTTACAAAGCATCATTTCTGTATTGCTTTGATGGCGACTAGAACTGGATGATGTGTGCAATAGTTGATCCAGATATTACACTTTGCCATTCAGATGGCTGTTTTCTTTTGTTAGGCTTTACAAGTGTTGTTAAAGTTCGTATTGTGTGCAGATATATGGAGTATCTTTTATTAGTGTTTTTATGCCCCCCCCCCCCCCCCCCCCCCCCCCCCCGAAAAATATAGAACCTATCACCGAATTAGAATAAATGAATGTGAAAGGCACACGATCACGTGTTTTACTTTAAACTATTTTAGTCAATGTTGTAATCGAGTTTTCTCTTCTAGGTTCTATTCAATGCTGTTCTGGAGAATGCTTGCAGTGAGCAAGGGGCAAGGATGTCTGCGATGGACAGCTCCAGTAGGAATGCTGGTGAAATGCTTGATCGCCTCACCCTTACCTACAACAGGTTCTCTCCCCCCTCCCTTTCATTTTAGCCTTGTGAATTAATGGTGTTAGATATCCTAGCACTAGAGTTGAGACTTTTTGGACAAATCATTGTCATATACCATTTCTGACCAAGAAATGCTACTTTGTTCATATTAATTTGGATTTTGGTCTGGAATTTACTGGTCTGGACTGGTGTAGTATTATGAGTATCTTATTATTGTTTTAAGTCTGGTCTGTTTGAACTGACTAGACCTAAAATAATCATTATTGTTTTCAATAATTTGTTTAATTATTGTTTCAATACTATGTTTCATTATTGTTTAACAATTACACATTATTGTTTTTAAGTCTGCTCTGTTTAATTTAGACACTGAAATAAATCGTGAACAGCTCCTATATCTCAATTAACCTTATGTGTTGAGTTCGGTTATTTCTTTCCAACCTAGAAGCTGAATATATGTGACAAGTTTCATTTTTCTGGTATGGTATGCTATTGCTTTCTACAAGCCATCTGATCAATGGTACTTTTACTTTTTGAGCAGAACCCGCCAAGCATCCATCACCACAGAACTGATAGAGATCATATCTGGAGCATCAGCACTGGAAGGATGATTCAGTATTTTTTCTGCTTAATTTCTGATGGTGATGAAATAAAATACTACGAGGGCTGGTGTTGCACTTAGTTCTCCCATAGCTTACTCCAGATTTTTAAATGGTGGTTAATAATCTTCTCGTTGTTCGTTATAATTTTGTGTTCTGGATGAAATTGTGGTTGTGAAACCTGCCACCCTCTCCCCTGAATTGCCAGTCACTCCATAGCGCAGATATCACCCTTCCCAAAAGGCCAAAAGGTGTGACCCCTTTGAGTATATTACATTTAGGTGCTGGCACATGTTCATTGTAGTGGGAAAATTTGTATTTATGCTTTGAGGTCCACTCTAATCTTTTGCTTTAATAACAGTCATTTTTACCGTTTAGATGTTAATTTGAGCAGCGAATTAAATGTAGATCCATATCCATAAAAAATGCATATCTGAATAGGATACAATCCAAACTTATCCATCGACGGGCCTAACAAATAACCATGATGTGTAGTTTTAACATACTTCTCAATGAAAGGTTACCTTGTTACTGAAAAATTGTAAAACAGTGCTTATTATTGCACTGAAATAGAGAAATCGTCGTCCGATGCGGCGATGCCCTTATACTCTGGCCCGGGTTCTGGTTCTGGTTCCGGGCGGGCTTTTTTTGGTAAATTCATGGGTCAGGAACCGGCCCGGGTTGATACCGGGTCCGGGCCTAGCCGGGCCGGGCCCGGTTCGATGTCTATTTTTTTTTGCTTTCTTGTTATCCCCCGACCCCCCCTCACCCCACCCCCAAACTTCCCCAAAACACCCAGCCCTAGCCTAGGAAAAGAAAAAAAATTGAAAAAACAAAAAAAAAAGACCCGGGCTCGACCTGAACCGCCCGGGCCGGTTCGCCCAAAACTGGGTCCGAGCTTGGCCCGCCTGACCCGCCCAAACGGGCAAAAAGCCCGGAACCGGCCAACCGGTCCCGGTCCGGTCTGGGCCCAAACAGTACAGGGCCGGTTCCGGGCCGGTTCGGCCCGGTCCAGTCCATCCCTAGACAAAATAGTTAATGGATAAATAGGGTGGGGAGGGGTGAATTACGGTAAGATCCCTCATTCTCTTGCAGTAAATTAGATTGTCGACCATGCAAATTTTGTGATAAAAATTGAAATCATGTATTTCTATATTGACTTTGTTAGATTTGAATAAAGTATGAGTGAATTAGAATTATACAAACAAATACTCCGTATTATATACGATAGTATACTACTTAGATACACAAACTAGAGAAGAGTAGACCAAAAAGTTACCTAGTAACTTTAAGCTTATTGGTAGTAAGCTTAAAGTAAAAATTTAGATTTGTCCAGTATCTTGGTGTATTAATATCTTAACAAAATTTAAGCTTAATAAATTTGGTGTTTTGATGGACAATTAAAACAAAATATACCTAGTAAGTAGTAATTGGTAGTCCAGTATCTTGCCATTTGCCAACTTGCATCTCCACTTAAAATTTAAAAACATATTCGGGCCCTTAGATTTGTCCATTCTCCTTGACTAAAGGTCTTATATTGTTCTCCGGTATTTTAATATTTCTCCCAGAATTAGGATTTAGGAATGACGATGGGGCGGTGGGCCTTCCAGTCCGGGGAGAAATTAGACGTGGTTGGAGCTGTGGTCCCAGATCAGACTTAAACAGACTAGATCAGACCAGATTAGCTCTGACCAGACTTTCATAGTTATAAAATACATATTGATCAGACATTTTTCAGACCAGACCAGTTCAAACCAGACTTAAACATATCAGATTAGACCAGATCAACAATTTTCAGTCCAAGTAAAAACATCTTAAGTATTAGCCATGACCCTATCTTTTCCCTTACCTTAATATAGAGTGGCAAGGTTGTGTTCACTGAACTAAATATTTTTTATGATTTCACAGCAAAATAATTCATTTTTATGAATGTACATGCACGACTGAAAGTGAGGGGTAAATTAATTTTTTCATATAACTTTTTATACTTTTCTGTAAGTCTAGTATAAACGCTCCTAAATTCCTAAAACACGTCATGTGTACCGAAAATGCACACTCTAAAATGTATCCTTCCATCCTTTATAATTTTACCAAATTTGACTGACACATGATACAGTAAAATAAAAACCGTGTCATTGACATTTTATATAGATAAATAAAAAATAATAAGAACCACAAACAAATAACTTTAAAGGGAAAGTAACATATGTTTTGACCCTAAATACATTGTGAATAATATATTAACACTGAAAATGGAAATTATGTGCTGAAGAAATTGGTAGTACCTTCGATATATTTAAAATGTCGTAAATTAAATCCTTGCACATAATTTAAGAGTGAAATAGTAGGGGTGTTGTAGGAAAAATATAAAAAGTAGGAGATATGAGAATGAATGAAATGCGAAAGAGAAGCCAAAGAATTCAAAAATGTAATATATTTAGTTATTTTTATATGAAAAGTTTATCAAAAGGGGAATGAAACATTGTATGGATTAGAAGTGAAATTTTTGCAATATTCTGAAGACAGGTAATACTTACAAGAGTGGAAATGGTTTAGAAATATATCAAATGGATTTAGAATTGAAGATTATATTAAAATAAAATCAGAAATGTTGGAATATGTTTTTAGTCCCGGCCTATAAATATAGTGTATTTTATTTTACGTCTCATCAGAATTATTTTTTGTTTTTCATCCTTGTAATTTATGTTGGTTTTCATTTCAAAAAAAAAGACATGTATATTACTAACATAGTTTCTCTGGACAAAAATATGATAAATTATGTTTTTCAGAAAAAACACGACTAGTCACTCTGTACGAGTAACTAAATAAGAGTCACTATAATTTATTTTATAATGACAAGTCACTGGTGGATGATGAATCACTGAGAACTAGTCACTGAATATATCAGTTCTTATGAAATTTTAAAATAAATATATTTTTGTCTTTTGAATTTAACTTAGTACTACGTATTATTCATGGAAAAAAGCCTTTTCTTTTTAGTCCATCACTGCTAATAAAAATTTATGTTTGAAAATGAAACAAGCCCAACTAACAGGTTTACTCTCATTTTTTGTAATGTTATTTAAAAAGTAATTGATTTTATTTTTTAGAAGGTATTTACATATTTTAAAAATGTTAATAATTAGTTTTACATTATTTAACTCTCACAATAGTCTCAAAAAATTTATAAAAGGATAAATTTGTACAACTTTTTTCACTAATAGAGTGGTCCCGAAGTTAGAGATGGAAACAAAATAAAATGGTACTACCTTCGTCTCAAATTGATTTGCAAATTTGACTTTTCTTGGTCAAACAGTTTCATTTTATTCGCTTAATTAGGATGTCGAATTTTAATTATATTCTAATTTGGAGTTTACAACTTTGAAGATATTTTAATGTAGTTTCTAAATATGTAAATTTTAATTATTAAAAATTGAATTAACTATCGATAGAGAGAGTTGACTTTTATTATAGGTTGACCAAAAAATGTTAACTTTGCAAAATAATTTGGGACGGAGAGAGTACATATTAGGAGTCTGATAAAAAAATATTTTACAGGAATTTAAAACAAAATATGTTATTTTTGAATTAAAAATGTATTTAAGAGGTTTGAAGAGCAAGAGATTCAAGCCTTTCAAGGCACTGCACTCCATACTCCACAAGTCCACAGCAATGCTATAATTGACATTTCCTCTTCTTAAAAAGAAAAACGTTTTACTGAAATTGCAACGCCTTTACGCATTAAAAAGAAAGACTTTTTAGTGCAATTACAACGCCTTCAAATTTTTCTCAGTCTACATTTGTTCTTGATTAGTAATTTATTGCTACACTCTCCTGAATCCATACCAGTTGAGCAAGGCTTTCGTTGAGATCGACCGTTTCAGTTCTTGGGTATAGCAGTGCACAAGCGGCTTTGTGTGCGGTAATCTCAAGAACCTTCTCCTATTCTTGTTGGCTTGAAGGATTTTATTAGTATACTGGTCTTTTTTCAATACACAGAGGCAGAGGGCTTTCTGGGGAAGGGTTTTCAGCTGTTTATGGGGGGTTTGGATCAGCACATTGCTGTCAAATGCTAACGCTCTTTGACGATTGAAAGTTCTATAGGGTTGTTGAAACGTTGTATTATAACAAATGGTTGAAGCTTGGTCTTACCGTATTGATTTAGCTCTTGATTTTGGTTATCTGGATGCTGCTCTGAGAAACTTGTTATTTATCAGAGATATCTGATGCTTTGAGCTTTCTTATTTTTAAGAGCTTGAAAGAAGAGAGTTTTAGTTCATCATTTTCAATTTCCTTTGAATTTGGCGGTTGCTCACTGGCTCTTTTTTTTCTTTCTTTCTCTCTCTCTCTCTAGTATAACAGGGGGAATCAAATTAGTCGTCATTGTAAAACAAAAAGGAAAGCGTGTTGTTATGCTGCTGAAAATTGAATGATTGGATTGTGGCAGCTGCTGCTGGTACAGACATATAGCATTGGGAGGGATTTATTAAGAGGTAAAGTGAATATTTTATAAATGTTTTTCTCATATGAAAACTGCAAAATATAAACAAAAGTCCTCACAGAATACTCTCCAAGTTTTGACAAACTGTATAACCCTAGGAATGATATCTAAAAATATGGCAGGTAACAATGTTTGTAGGGAGAGGGAACTAACTCATGAAAATACTATTATGACGGACATGCCATCTTCAAATGGTTTGTCTGGAAATCTTAGAATGTTGGATAGTTCTGGTAGTTGCAATACATCACCAACTACTTCAAATCACACAATTGGGCCCATGAATGAGATAAGGCATCATGTAGACTTGGAAGGAGCCCAAGTAGGTGATGAATCCAATGTGCCCACAGATGATGTTTCTCATCACCCTTATACAGCGGATGTGCGATTTTCATATGGTCTCAGAAGAAACAGAAGCCTGAGAAGCAAACAATCTATTGAACATAAAATAAAACCTCAAAACTCTCTCCAGAGCTGCTTACTGGCCCAGGCTTACAAGGAACGAGCGGAAATGGAAGAATACATTTTCAGAAAAGATTCTTCATCCATACATATGCCGAGGCCATTTTTGGTCATGGACAGTAGCCAAACCATCAACAGAGCTAGTGGTGATTATTTAAGTACACCAAGTCAAACTGATTTTCATAGGCTGCAAAAAGATGTCTTATTGCAAGAGAATGATGCAGTGTTTGGAATTCCTCAACTACCCAATATTGAAACCATGAAAAAGACTATTGCTGATAGAGGAAAGGACCACAGTGGAAGTTTTAGAAGAAAAGTGAATGGGAAACACTGTCACTCAGAAGGTAGTTAGTACCTTTAGTTGATTTATTTTTATTCCTGCAATTTTTTACATCAAATCCATGAAACGACAAATAGTTTTTGACATGTTTTTCCTTGTCAACTGTTATGATTAACATATTCTTTTCTGCTTTTGATGGCTTCCTACTAACTGATCTTTCCCTCTAATGCCTTAGATGTATCTCATGGCTTACCCCGTATTTGCACCAGGGTCATCTGATGGAGCATTTCTTGTCTGTCTTGGAATATCTGTTGGCATATTCTCTTCACTCTTGGCACATAAGGAGGAGGTTGGTAAATTGAATGGGTTACTGAAACAGACTGAGAACTTGGTTCAAGATCTACAAGAGGAACTTGAAATGAGGGATTCATTAACTGTGAAAGAGCTTGCCACTGAGGATTTTGAGTCCCAAAATACATATAACAGCTCAAGTAACAAGGAGTTATTGCACGGATTCTCCTCTCAAAAGAATCTGAATAACTCATCAAACCATTGTTTTGAAGAATATCATTGTCAGGACTCAGAAGGTGAATCTATGAGTAAAATTGAAGCAGAGCTTGAAGCTGAACTGGAGAGATTAGAATTTAACATTAATTCATTTAAACTGGAGGATGAATATTCTGACGTAGTTGAGGTAAGAACATGTCACTATTGTGTGTCTATTTCAAAGACTTGGACTGTTCGTTTAATTTACAGTTTCCTTATCTATTTCAATGACTTAATCTATGTTCTGTCTGCCGTTATAAAGTTAATTCTGCATGTTTGCTTCTAATTTTGTAACACAACTACACGCTGGACCCTATCTCCTTTCGTTATCCCCACTGCTCTTGGCTTGCCATAGGGGGATATCATTGGCAGTGTATTCAGTAATGGTGCATAGATCAGAATTTCTAAATATTAAAAAATTGTCCTGATTGATGGCTATCTTAATATTTCCTTATTACTATTGAGTACAGAACTGAGTATCACTAATGAGAATAGTGAGCCTTGTTTGTTAGAATAATTCAGTCAAGTATTAGCTTACTACCTTCCCTCAGTTCTTAAAACCGGTTATTTGCTACACTAAAATTTAATAGGCGGTTTTAGACTGGTTTTTCATATTGGCTTGCTTAGATGGGTGACATATCAAATTATAAAAAAGCAGCAATCTCATATTGGTTTTAGACTGGTTAGTTGCTTTCAAGGAACGGAAAATTCCATAAACATGATCAAATTATAACACATTTCTTTAAGCGGGTCTAGTAGACCCAGTCTACTATTGTTTTATGCTAAAAATGACTCAGTTACTCCCAAAAAAGAGTTAACTACTTGTACTCTTTAAAGGACTGAATGAGTCATGTTTTCAGCATAAACCAATGATACTCCTATTTGCGCACATGACTCATGTTTTACTCCTATTGGCGGTAAACTTTTTCAAGAAATGCCTATAGGTTTTCATTCTCAATATAAAGAACTATTAAGGCGAGATGAATCTCGTACTCTTTCAGAAACATTTGAAAAAAAACTGTAATTTACATTCTGGAGAACCAGACCTTGGTCAGGTAATAGTTACCCAATTGTGAAAGCATTGTATTAATTTGGTACACTTTAGAGTTTAGACATTTGATACAAATTGCCATACAGTTCGTCACCAGATGAATAAAATTTCGACTCTAATATTGATGACTGAATCAAGATGGTATTGGTTAACTACTTGTACTCTTTAAAGGACTGAATGAGTCGTGTTTTCAGCATAAACCAATGATACACCTATTTGTGCACATGACTCATGTTTAACTCCTATTGGCGGTAAACTTTTTCAAGAAATGCCTATAGGTTTTCATCCTCAATGTAAAGAACTATTAAGGCGAGATGAATCTCGTACTCTTTCAGAAACATTTGGAAAAAAACTGTAATTTACATTCTGGAGAACCAGACCTTGGTCAGGTAATAGTTACCCAATTGTGAAAGCATTGTATTAATTTGGTACACTCTAGAGTTTAGACATTTGATACAAATTGCCATACAGTTCTTCACCAGATGAATAAAATTTCGACTCTAATATTGATGACTGAATCAAGATGGTATTGGTTCTCACCATGTGATAAATATTATGCCCTTGTTTATAAAAAAGCAGCAATTTTTTCATCTCTCGTTTCATGATATTCTAGTTCTGACAGCCTCAAATGCCTTGCAGCTTGACCCAGACCGTGTACCTGATTTAGCTGAGGGAGAGTCGCGAACTGATGTTGTCAGTGGGCATTTTGTTCACCAACCTTATGCAGATCAGGATGGAAGTGGCAGCTCCACCCCTCATTCTGCCAACTATGCTGTTTCGCCCAGGGAACTAAGCTTGCGGCTCCACCAGACCATCCAGTTACAATTAGAAGAACGTGTCAGTGAGCTTGAAATTGCACTTGAGCATAGCCAGATGAAAGTGCGTCGCATGGAAGCACAACTTAGTAATAATTGGAGAGCATTGTCTAGTAGCGAGGTGGAGGCGTCTCCTTCAACCAAAGGCAGTCCAGTCGCTAAAGATGACCCTACATTTATCAATTTAGCAGGGGATGCTCTTGATGAATACAGTGAGGGTTTTGAAGGTACCTCGAAGACAAATGAATCTGAAACTGATGGGACATCTTTGGGGATTCAGAGTCTTGGCCCTCATGAAAACATGCAGCGACATGATGATAGCGGAGATTGGATTCGAAAATGCACAATTGGTGATGAGAACAGTGATGTTAATGATGAGATGGAAAGGCTGTTGATTAGGCACATTTTGCAGAAAACCATGAAGGGCTCTCCAGCCGTTTTGAATGCTCAGAGAGCATTTTTTTACCGTGATGATTTTGCACATTGATACTTGGTACTTGGTAGAGAGAACAAAGTTTTTTTTGCAGTTTTTTGTTAGAAAGACTGGTTTTTCTAAAATTTCATTCTTTGAAAAATGGAAGGAAAAAAAAATTTGCTCAACAGTTTCTTTCACATTTGAGAAATGAAAAGATATTGGATTGGTTATTATTTCGCCCTGATTGAAAAGAATCTCTTTGAGTTATAAGGAAAATACAAGTAATAATTATAAATAATTAAATGCCTTCCCTCAGAAACTAAATAACTTGAATGAAAAAGGGGCGAAAGCGGCTTTTGTTTTGTTTTGTTTTGTTTGAGCAATCCACAATACAAAATTCTTATTTTACCGGGTTATTCTCTACCTTGACAATTGTCATAGATATAAAACGATCTGTATATTACCGCCACATGACTCTACTGCACGCTTTTGTATCCCCTCACAACGGGAGCCAAATTGGGATTTTGGGCCTCAATAATTAGATTATCCTAATAATACTAAATCAAATTACACATAGTGTAATCGAGTTATTTGGCTAACACAGCTATTGGTGTGTATACATTGAAGATGTCTATAATTTTACTCAAAGTTTTAGTTCGGTCCGGTCTCATATGTTTAAATTTGATTTGAGATGGTTTAATCCAGTCTGGTTTGATCTATTTAAATCTAATTTATTCTTTCAACACTATTTCTACAAAGTTCACACTATTTAAATCTCCATACCATTCACACTATTTCTACAAAGTGACATGTGAGCCATGTGAATTTTTCTTTCAACAATGCTATCCGGATCAAATTCATCATCCCATCTTAATCTGGAATCAAAGAAGTCCCAATTTACAGAAAATACCCCTTTGCACCCTTCAACCCCAAGAATCAAAAACTGATCATGACTTTCAACAATATCAACGCACCTCTCCATCCATCTCCTATTACTAATTGCTCTCAACATACTGTCACATTCTTGATCCTTATCTCTTTTCCTGAGAACGTTGAGTCGTGGACCAGCACTTGCCATATGAAATCTGTAATCAAAATCTAAACCTCTATCTTGAACAATTATACAAACTAATGGCAGTCCCATAACCACTTCACCAACTTTAATGGCCTCAGAGGAATGACCAAGAGTGAGATCTTTAACAAACATCAGATACATGACAACTTCAACACCGGTAACATATCTCTCATATTCTGTAGTATTCCCAGTATTCCTCCTTCCAATCCATTTTGAGTATCCATCACAGAAGTAACACCCTCATATATGAAACTATCAAACTTGTTCAATGACTTCAGCCCTTCCAAAGTAATGTTTAATGAATGATAATACACCATTTCAGACTTTAAAACATTAGGCCAGTTCATCTCCTGTACGAACCTAGAAGTCATCTTGGACTTTGCCACGCAAGCATCAGTGTCACATGTGTGTAGAATCTTGAAAATATTGGTTTCCGAATCTGACTTGACAGACTTGTATTTGAGAAAATGAGCAATTGTGCCAACTTCCGGTCCAATGTTCACTGACAATTTTTCCGCGCTTCCCTCATCACCCTCAGTGACTTTCTCTGCCCTAGGCGATGAAGAATAAGCTCGCGAAGAAGTCGGAGAACTGGAAACATCTACTCCAGATGAAGCTTGCAAACTGGGAAAAAATGTTGGCGAGGAATCCTGCGAAAAACTGAGTGTAGCTGTTTGTGAGGAAGATGGTGAACAGTAAGAATCGACGGGTGATGAATATGAGTGGTAAAGATCGGCGAGTGAGGAATCCATCGAACTTGGAAATTCTCCTATCGATTGCGTCGCATTTTGACGGGAAATGAGAGCTGATGAAGGATTCTGGGAAAAAATCTGCGAAGAAACCTGCGAACTGGGAGGAACTGTTCGCATCTGCGAACGGGAAGGGACTGTTCGCAACTGCGAACTGGGCTCTTGTGCTTGCGACGATGCGGACGGACTGCGAGAAGAAGTTTGCGACCAATCCTGCGAACTCAAAGAAACGGTTCGCGACTTCGAACTGTGAGACGAAGTTCGCGAGTTACCTCTGGCTTAAGACGATGTAGGACTCTCATGTACAGTGTGACGCCTTGAAGTTCTTGATTTTCTTCGTTCATGTCGAGCGTTCTGCTGCAGGATCAATTCGCGCCATTCCGCCATCTCTTTCCGCCTTTCCTCGCGATAGCGTTCAAAATTGCGTTCCAGGTTCTCCAGTCTACTTTCCATCGTTCCTTGAGTAGCTGACGCTCTGATACCAATGTTAGATACCTGGCTGTTTCAAAGTGATTTCAAGAAGTAAAAGATGATAGAATGAAGATGTGCGTAACAATGGAAGCTGTCGTATAACAGAAAATGTAGAGAGAGAAATACAAAGACAGTTTAAGAGTGCCACTCTCCAAGTCCCAAGCCCAAATAACAATTCCAACCTCCTTTCTATTCTCCCTCACCCTCTATTTATACTAACTATTCTAATATTATTATTATTCTTATTATTATCAGTGCTATTCTATCGGAGTCCTATCATTTTCATAATGAGTAATTAAAATTATGAGCAACCTATTCTTTTTTGTAAAGACTAGTGAACTTAGCCGGAATGATCTTGGCCCCCAAGTATTCACCCTGAACTCTTCTTGGGTTAAGTTGCTTTTAATAGATGGAGATGCAAAGGAGATTGAATAGAGGCTCTCAAATTCACGTATACTCGGGTTCGCAATGCAGCTCTTGAGACGAGTAAAATTAGCTCTGGAATCTAAAAAGATGATAGTTTGAATTTTGTTTATCAAATTCACATCTTCATTGACTTGAATGTGTCCACTTGGACAATTCTCAGCTATCAAGAGCAAACTATTCTCACTAACATTCGGCGTATCTGTGGGCAAAAATAAGATGATTATGTTATATGTGAGAATAAGATGATAATCATAATTTTGAGTGTCAAGTAGGGGTGGACTCGGTTCGGGCCACCCGGCCCATGACCCGGCCCGGCCCGGTACTGTGTGGGCCCGGAACCGGCCTGGTCGGACGGTCCGGGACCGGGCGTAGACCCGAACCGGTGGGCTAAGCGGTTGCGGGCTCGGTTCCTATAAAACGTGACCCGGCCCGGCCGGGTCGGGCCCGGGTCCGAGTCACAACGGCTAGATTTAAAAAAAATATTTTATTTGGGCCAAAAAATGACCGCGGGGGGTGGGTTGGGGACAACCCAAATGGCTATATAGCCGCTGGGTGGGCTGCAGGGGGGGTCCGGGCGGTTTGGGGGGTGGGGGTGGGGTAAAAAAACCTATAAATACTCCTAATTTGAAACATTTTTCCACATCTCTTCTCCAACTCTTCCTAAATCCTACCTCATCCCAAACCGGTACGAAAAACAGTAAATCTGAACTAATGACTAATGATTTTTCTAAGTGGAAAAATAATTTTTAAAATATTATTCACATATTCCGCATATTTATGGTATTGCATTTGTTCTCGATCCTCATTTTAGACTTGGTTCTTTAGAAGAATTTTTGAATTATTATTATGCTGCTTTTTTTGGTCCAATGCCAATGTATGAGGACAACCCAATTGATTCGAAAAAAGAATATAACGAGGTTAGTGATATATTTTATGCATTATTTAATGAGTTTCATGCAAAATATGGCAACGCGCCCCCTCCCCCGACACAAACATCATCATCTAAAGGAAAATCAATTTTCAAATCTACATTTGCCAATCTTATTAAAAAAACGAAATCAACTCCCGCTACTCAACAAAGCACAATTAATGAGATTTCTTTGTATTTAACATATGATGTTGATTTTGAAGAAGATGATGATTTTGACGTACTAAACTGGTGGAAGGGAAAAGAAAGAATGTTCCCAGTTTTAGCAAAGATGGCTAAGCAAGTGCTATCAATGCCGGTTTAAACAGTTGCCGTGGAACAAGAATTTAGTTTGGCCGGCAATGTCCTAACGCAATGTGGAACGAGGTTGAGCGCAGAATCTCTTGAGATGCTTATATGCTACCACGATTGGTTGAAGGTGGCCCGTAGAGCTCAAGAAATTGACATCACCCCAACCCAACACTTTATAGATGAATCTACAACCGAGGGTGACTCTACCTATGTCGGAGATTCCGATTGACTAGTATTTCATGTTTTAATTTTACCTTCAATTCTCAATTGTAACTTGTAAACTTGTAGTTCATATTTCAATAAATATACGTTCATTTTTTATATGTAACATTTTTTACTGAATTCATAAAATTAATTAATTAATTTTACATTATGTAATTTATTCAAACTAAAATAAACAAAAAAATTGAAATCAAAAGCCCCAAACGGCTATATAGGCGTTGGGCACTTTGGTTGCTTGAAATTTGAATGAATAGAGCCATTGAGGCTGCGGGTGGGGTGGGGGTGGGGTACAAAAAATTCTATAAATACTCTTATTTTATAACATTTTTATACACATCTTCTCCAACATCCAATCTCTAATCTCCATTCTCCATCTTCATCTCTATCTATTGTAGAATTATTATATCTACCATTTTAAAGATGGAAAGTCAATATGCCGTTATACGGTATAATTTTGATAAACAGAAGGACTCGAGGACCGGGATGTGGTACGCAACTTGCAAATGGTGCGGGAAAAAGTGTAGCATGGGGATTTCACGCGGATACAGGATGGCAATGAAGCATATTAAGTCATGTGACAAAGCCAAAGGACCGAGAGGTGCGGGAAGTTCCGATTGATTACAATTTACAAAATGTATTTCATATTGTATGTTTTTCTTAATTGTCAAATGTAGTTCCTATTTCATTTCAAATAAATGCGCTTGAAGTTTATTTTTAATACTTGTATAAAACTATAAAGTATAAATTATAAAAAAAAAATAGATTTAACCGGCCCGGCCCGGCCCGGCGGGTGGCCCGACCCGTGACCCGGGCGTGTGGCCCGGCCCGAACCGGACCCGTCCAGACCTCGGGCCGGTCCCGGGTCCATCACTTACAAACCGGTGGCGCGGCCAGGCCCGAGTCCATGTCTAGTGTCAAGAATGTATTTCATGTGTCATTAGATGCCAATTGTGCAAAATGTTCGCTTCAATGGTTTCTTTTATTCTTTCAATTTTTTCATGTTAGGGTCTTGACAATATATCAAGCCATATGTACTAGATAAAAAACAATTTTCATGATGAAGACTGTGTGTCAAGTTAAGTGGTAGGGGTGTGTATTCACATGGAAAAGTTGAACAATATAATGGGCTAGTTGGATCATTCTTATTATTGCTTAGCTTTTTCCATGTGTGTAGTAGTAAGATAATGATATATAGGGAGAATGGTATTGGTATATAAAATTGTCTCAAACTTATAAATAAGTTAGAGCAGTATAATTTAGTGATTTTTTAGTAAAAATATCTCAATCTTATCCTAAAATGAACATGTAAAAGTATGATAATTTAGGGATACATAAGTACGAAGTATGGATGGACTCGGGTCCGGGCCGGGTCTGGGTCGGGCCTAGGCCCGGGCGGGCCGGCGGGTCAAAAATGGTGGACCCAGGACCGGCCCGGGTAACCACCGGGTCCGGTCCGGGTCCGGGCCGGGCCCATTATATTTGTTTTTTGTTTTCCTCTTCCTAATTAACCCCCCTCCCACCCCAACTCCCTAAACCACCCCAAATGGCCCAAAATACCCAGCCCAACCCGAAAATTTAAAAAAAAAATTGAAAAAAAATAGTTTGTGGCCCAAACCGGACCCGAGCCCGACCGGGTCGGGCCTTGTTTTGGGTGACCCGAGCCCGGACCGGAAAACCCACGGGCCGGGCCTACCCGGACCGGTCACTGACCGGGCCACCGGGTCGGGCCGGGCCGGAACAGTACCGGTCCCGGGCCGGTTCCGGGTCGGACCACCCGGCCCGAGTCCATCCATAGTACGAAGTATACAAGTCTAAGAGACAAGTAAGTTTACTATTTACTCAACAATTCTCTTATCAGTTATCCCATCTATGCTCCTAGAATAGCCCTCAATAATGATATGGTGCTTGGGTTGAGAGCTTTGGTAAGTAGTTTGAAATTGAGTCGATAAGTAATTCTGCATGAATTCCCAACCCTAACCACATGGCATTCATCTCAAACATCACACCTGCTAGAGAGTAAAATTTAAATAACTTTTAGGAAAAGGTGCTCATAAATATATTTTCGTTTGTCAAGATTTTTTATGCTTTGAACATTAGTTCACAATATCGAAATTTGAACTCTATTTACTAATGATGAGACCTATTTCTTCAAAGCCTTTATTTGTTGAAGTAAGTTTCTTATAATTGCATTGGATTGTAAAATTTGCTTCTTTAGTATGTATGAATGTGTGATACACAAGCTCCAAAGATCTGAAGCACCTTTTGTTGAAGTCACATAATTGTGAACTATTAAGATTCACATTACTCCTTCTGTCAGATTTACCTTTTTATCTCCCACATTCCACTTGTTCCTAGATGCTTACAACAAACACACTTTACTATCAATTGTCGCATGTGCATTTTATTCTTGTGGTGTGGATCTCTCTATTTATTCACTAGAACTCTTTTTCATCTGAGCTGCATACGGACAAAAATGTTCCATCAAGCTTGGATTATTAACCCGTTCCCATAACACATACTTCCTCCATTCTTTTTTGGATATTTTTGCTTAGACTATTTTCAGTCCCAGACAAGATTTAAATAGATCAAACCAGATTAGACCAGACCAAACTTAAATAGATCAAACCAAACTAGACTTGCTTCCATAGTTATAAAATATACAGAAACCAGAAGTTACCAGACCAAAAGTAAAAACATCCTTAGCCGCAACATTCTCATTTCCCCGCTTGCCAATGCACAACTTTGATCGTCATTATAGTTAATTCATTATTAGTAAAAAATTAAAATTCAGATTATGATAATTTATGATGAGAAGAATTCAAATACTTTTCCAATAAAAAAATTCTCATACATTAATAAATAAAATGTAGTCATAGTATAGTACTCCCTCCGTCCCATTAGAAGGTTCCCACTTTCCTTTTTGAACGTCCCGTTAGAAGATTACCATTTCCAGTTTAGGAAACAATTAAAAATCTTAAGTGACAAATTAATCATTAAATATTAAAAATAATACATTTATAACATCACAAATATCAATACTAACTACTTCCTCCGTTCTTAAATAAATGCAACAGTCAATATTTCACACTTGCCGAGACACAACTTTGACCATTAATATAAATGATTTTGTATTAGTAAAAAATTAAAAAAATTGGATTATGAAAATTTACAATGAGACAAGTTTAACAAATTTTTTTTTCATAAAATAATATTATTACATTAATAAATAAAACGTAATCAAAGTAGAACATGTGAATAGTTTAAAACTCAAAGTGTTGCATTTATTTAAGAACGGAGGTAGTACATTATAATATATAC